CAATACACTTGACTCGTGTAGACCCTATGCCTCTGGCTACACACAATACATTCGGCTCGTGTAGACTCTATGCCTATGGCTACACACACTACACTCGCCTCTGGGTTACACAGAGTCCCGGTCCCGTTAGGACAGCGGGACTAGGTACCGCAGGGCCCTAGGTCTTCATCCCCGTCTTCATTCTTCGCTGGTTACATACTGCCCTTACGCCTGTGTGCATCCCCTTTTATAGCCCCTGCTCACGAGAGACGGAGCTGATCCGGACGTCGACGTGAGCATCGTTCCCTAGTGAACCAATCACGACGCACTCTCTCTACGATCCGTTTTCCCAGCGCGTGTTAACACTCCTCTACCAATCACACCGCGCTGCCACCCGATCACTCCCTCTCAGCGCGTCACGGGCCCACAGCCAATCAGTACCCCGTAACCCACGACCCCGCGCTGACCCCTGATCCTCCACCGTCAGCGCGCGTCACCACCTACACAGCCAATCATTACGCGCTGGCATACGATCCCTAATCCCAGCGCGTATCACCTCTACATCACCCCCTCCCACATAGCTTGCAGCCGGCCCGGCTGTTAACCAACAACACAACCTAACGTCAACGCAGTAATAAAGAAACTCCACCTCCCAGTGTGCCCCGTAACGCAACAACAACAACACAACACAACACTTAAATATGAAGCAATATACAGCCCGACGAACAACACAATAAGAGCGAACACCCGAAAACGAACGCGCCACGTGTCTCTGTGACTAAACGCAGTGCCGAGGCGCTCCGTCTGCCACGACTCCTCACATGGTAGGTCACACAAAGTAGCGCGACCTAGCGCGAGTCCGTCTGGCCGGTCCGTCGTATGGGACGGGACGCTGGCATACGTCCGGTGGCTCCGGCAGCTCTAGACGGCGCGGATCGGGCCTGGAAGGACCGGCCCCGCCGCGAAGATCCGGCCGCCGGTGGTCGGCAGCTGTCAGTTCCGAGACACCTGGGAGCGGACCAGGCGGAGACATGTGAGGAGCAGGCAAAGACAATCCCCCCTTAGGGTCGTCGGTCACGTCACATGCTCGGCCCTCACGACACAAGGGGAGGCCATATGGAGGCGAGAACGGTTTCAGTCGGGAGGGGTGGACGTACCAACGGCGTTTTCCCCATTTTATCTGAACGCACTGGGGGCGTGCAACCCGCACGACCTCCACGGGTCCCCGCCATGGCTTCAACAATTTAGGCGACGTAGCCAAAGGTGCCTGAGGGCAATGCAGCCAGGCCCTGTCACCTGGTTCCCAGTTGTGCACGGACACCTTCCGTGCACGCAACCGCTCGTTTGCAATTTGGCGAGCCCGCGAATTAAGCCGTGCGGCCTCCCTTGCCTCTGTCAGCTTATGAATGTTACATTTAATATGCTCTGCCAATTTCGAATTAGTCCGTGGTGCGGGCAGACCCAGCTGCGTTTCCATGGGCGGGTCGGCTTCCCGACCGTACATCAGATAAAACGGGGAAAATCCCGTAGCTGCATGGGGGGCCATTCTATACGCGGCGAGGACCCCAGGAACCTGCAGGTCCCAATCAACATGTGCCTCACACACCTGCTGGCACAGCATAGAAGTCAATGTCCTGTTGAGCCTCTCAACCATCCCGTCCGTCTGCGGGTGGTACGGGGAGGTACGCACCTTCTTAGTACCCAACAGGTCGCACACCTCTTGCAGTAATTTACTCGAAAATTTTTTCCCTTGGTCGGTCAGCAAGCGTTCGGGAGCCCCCTTGTCCAGGACGTAGCCCTGGACAAAGGCGTCCGTCACAGCCGCCGCCGACTGGTTGGCGAGTGGCCACGCCATAGGCCACCGGGTAAAATATTCGACCCCCACCAACAGGTACTTATTACCCCTAGGCGTGACTGGAAAAGGCCCCAGAATATCGAGTGCGACGAGCTCGTTAGTGCGCGAGACCTGAATAGATAGCAGCGGTGGATTAGCTGCCACAGGCGGTGGTTTCCGTCTGGCGCACTCAACACAACCCTTCAGAATATTCACCACGTCACCCCCCATTCCCGGCCAATAATAGTCACGCTGAAGCAGGGCAAGCGTTTTGTTAACTCCCAAATGCAAGAGGCGTTCGTGTGCGGCCAAGACAACCTTCCCCCTCACAGCAGAAGGCACCACAATCGCGTGCCGCCGGGACAAACTGTCCCATCTCATTAACAGGCCCTGCTTAAGCACGTAGGAGCCAGTTCGTTCATGGTCACCTTCGGAACCCCCCGTCTTGCGGCGCAATGCTAGCAAGGAGCTGTCCGCCATTTGGAGACGGCCCCACTCAATCAACGACAGTGAGAGCAGCGAGTCCTGACCCCCTGGGTTAGCAGGAACATCCCCAATTGGTGTGCCCGCGGTCGCAACCAACTCCTCCATACCTTCCGTAACTGGCGGTTTACAGCGCGCCGATCCCGACAAGCACGCACATTTGTGACAAGGCAACAACCGCGACAGGGCATCGGCATTTGTGTGTCGCAACCCTTTACGGTATGTAGTCGTGAACTGATAGTCCTGGAGGACTTCCAACCACCGCGACAATTGGCCCGAGGGCTGGGCGACCCGCAATGAATACTGGAGCGCCACGTGGTCCGTCCGGACCGTAAAATGACGACCATAGAGATATGGCCTGAATTGTTGTACGAAAAAAACAATGGCAAGCAGTTCGCGACGGGTGACGCAGTAGCGCTGCTCTGCCGGCGACAACACCCTGCTACCATAGGCGACCACTCGTTCGACCCCTCCAACGACTTGGGACAGCACTCCCCCAATGCCCGTGTTGCTAGCATCCGTGTCCAGCAAGAAGGGACTCGCAAAGTCCGGATAGCGCAAGGGTGGGGCCCTTACCAAGGCGTCCCGGAGGGAGCAGAATGCAGCCTCCTCCTCCGGTCCCCATCGGAACTTCACTCCTTTCGCTGTTAGAGCGTGCAAGGGTTTTGCAATGGTGGCGAAGTGCTCAACGAATCGGCGATAATATGAAGCAAAACCGATGAAACTGCGCACATCTGACACTGACGTGGGCGTCGGCCACGAACTGACACAGTCCGTCTTCGCAGGATCGGTAGAAATCCCCGAAGAGTCGACAATGTGACCCAAGTACCACACGGATTTACGAAAAAGGTGGCATTTGGCCGGTTTAAACTTTAATTTAGCCGATCGCATTCGCAAGAACACCCCTCTCAATCGCTGGAGATGTTCTTCAAACGTTTTACCGAAAACAATGACATCGTCAAGGTAAATGAGGCACGTATCCCACTGCAAGCCCGACAAAACCAATTCCATAAGACGCTGAAACGTCGCAGGAGAGGAGTGAAGTCCCATGGGTAACCGGTTAAACTGAAACAGGCCCCCCGGAGTCCGAAATGCAGTCTTAGGCTTAGACTCTTCGTCGAGTGGCAACTGCCAGAATCCGGATAATAAATCAAGAGTCGAAAAGTATCGCGCACCAGACAATGCGTCGAGAGACTCGTCCATCCTGGGGAGCGGATACGCGTCGGCCACAGAGATCTTATTCAGGCGACGGAAATCGACGCAAAATCGCAGGGTCCCGTCTTGCTTTTTAACGAGCACAATAGGTGCTCCCCAAGGACTGGAAGAAGGCGAAATAATGTCGGCTTCCAGCATATCGTTAACTGCCGACTGAACATGTTCCTTCTCAGCAGGACTCAATCGGAAGGGATTTTGCCTGACCGGTGCCGCATCGCCCGTTTCAATGTGGTGGCTTAGCAGGTCCGTGCACCCAATGTCATACTTATGTTTACCGAAGACATCCGAAAATTCAATTAGCAACCCGCGCAGCGCACCCAACTGTACCGCTGACAAATCGTCAGAGTCCGCGCACAGCGAATCAACCCATTCGAGGTCCTCCTTCAATGTTACGTTTTTCGTGGGGCTCGGATCAGCCTGCGCAACCAGCCTCTCCTCCGCAGGGACCCGCGCCGCGTGAGCTAGCACGGTGCCCTGCTGAATGACGGCCGGCCGCGCCCCAGCGTTTAAAACCATCACAAACGGATCCCTGTCAGCCCCAACCAAAGTGTGAGCCACCGACAAATCGAGACCTCCAACAGCCCTATTAGAAGGACCCAAAAGCATGCCCTGTTCCGAGGCCTCCCTCACCCATGGCTTCTGCAACCGGAGGGGAATTAACATTTGTGAACCCGGGGGCACGTGCACGGTCTGTGTCGCTAACGCCTGTATGGTAGCGCACGCCGTCCGAATTTCATTAGGGCTCGTCAAAAATGAAATACGGCGACCCGATGGTAGTTCAATGCAACGCTGATCAATGAGAATTTTGATGGGCATTTTTGCCAAAAAATCAGTGCCCAATAGACAGGGAACCGCCAGGGAGGACGAAACGAAGACGGGTCCCGACAATTTGATATCACCAATGCAAATGGACGCCCTAATCTGACCGATAATGCCCAACGATCCCCCGTTAGCGGCGTAAAATGGCACATCCACCGGAAGAAGCGGACGACATTGTACAGGGAGAATGTTATAAATGAGATCCGATATAATAGTCGCCGATGCCCCCGTGTCCACTAACACCCTGACCTCGACCCCATCAATAGATCCGGTAACGACGGATGAACCCGCTGAGGCAGCCACTATTCTGTGCCCCAACTCCGACCATTTAATGTCCCCCCGGTCCCGGCCGAACCCCCCTCTCCGAACCGAACCCCCGAACTCTACTCGGCTCTCCCCCGCCGCAACGCGACGACCCATACGTGTCGAGTATGCGGGCCGAGCATGTGAGGTGCCGCGACTTGCCGGGGTTTGCAGGGATGACTTGGGGCCTTGTTCGTCGTCCAGCCGAGGTCCCATGGCGCGCTGACGTGGGGCGCGGCAACCGGAGGCCACGTGTCCCCGGAGGCCGCAGTTATAGCACGTGATGACAGTCGTCGGAGATCTCGGTTGCTCCAGCTTGCGGGCCGCTCGCAGAGGCGAACGGCCCCCCGACCTCCAGTCCCCCGGTCGTTCCGCGATGAACGCCTCCTCTCGTGGGCTGACGACTTGGGGCACGGTGACTACGGGGCCCGGAGCTGAGGCCACGGCAGCGTTGCAGACGACCCCCTGTTTACGTTGAAGGACCTCGTGCGCTTGTATGCTCGTAGCGACCCGTAAGGAAGAAATATCGGTCTCGTCGGCCGTGTTGATGGGGACCCCCAGGTCCTGCGCCAACTTGAGCAGTTGCTCCAAAACCATCGCATCTTGGCCCTCCTCGTCCATACGAGGGAACGCGGCGTCGGCGAGAGCAAGCAACGCCGTGCGGTAGGCGAGCACAGTCTCCGTGTCCGCCTTCCGTCTTGCATAAAAATGATGGCGGCCCGCCGAGGGAGGACCATAGACCTTGGCCATGAGAGCCAGCGCATCCTTGAGCGTGGAGCGGTCCGACCTGCGTGCGGACGTGAAGGCCGCGAGCGCGTTGTCGTCCAGCATGGCAGGCAGTGCCCGCAGTGCCGTAGCGTCGGACCAGGCGGACATCTCCTGATGCGTCAAAAACCTGCGCTGAAATTGGCTCCAATCCCCGCCTTCCGCCTTGAAGGCTGACAACGTGGGAAGGCGCTGTTGAAAGATGAAGTCGTCCTCCTCCTCGTGCTTCCTCTCCGCCGCCCCGTCGGTGTGTAAGATGGCGGCCCCAGTGGCGGGTGTCTGATGGCGGTCCGCAGCGCGCGTTGGTGACGTAAGCGGGCGCGCTTGGAGAACCGCTGCCACGTGGTGATGGCCGTTCCCGCCAAAAGTCGGCGCAGATGAAATGGCGGGAATCGCCAAGTCGTTTTGGCGGGAATCTGCGGGGCGACCCTGCAGAACGTCCGCCGCCGTCCCCGCTCCTCCCGACGAGCTGATCTCCGCCAGGATGGACGCGGCGGCGAGCAGCAGCTCCGCCAGGCGGGAGTGCGCCTCGCGAAGCACGGCGTCGGTCCCCCGTCGCTCGTCCGGCGCCGTTGGCGGATCCTGCAGCGTGGGCAATTCCTCGTCCTCACCCCCCGATGCCAGCTGGCCCGAGTCGTCGAGGTTGTCCCCGCGGTCAATCTCGTGGGTCCGACGGGTCTTCCTTGTCTCCATGCTTGGAAGACCGTTTCACTTCTGACGCCAGTTGAAGTATTGGAATTGACGGCAGGAACTTCTTGACGGGTAACACACTTTTATTAAATCTTTACGTTCACAATACAACGTGTGGTCTCCTTTCTTCCGACTACACACTCCACTTAACTCGTGTAGACTCTATGGTTCTGACTACACCCAATACACTTGACTCGTGTAGACCCTATGCCTCTGGCTACACACAATACACTTGACTCGTGTAGACCCTATGCCTCTGGCTACACACAATACACTTGACTCGTGTAGACCCTATGCCTCTGGCTACACACAATACATTCGGCTCGTGTAGACTCTATGCCTATGGCTACACACATTACACTCGCCTCTGGGTTACACAGAGTCCCGGTCCCGTTAGGACAGCGGAACTAGGTACCGCAGGGCCCTAGGTCTTCATCCCCGTCTTCATTCTTCGCTGGTTACATACTGCCCTTACGCCTGTGTGCATCCCCTTTTATAGCCCCTGCTCACGAGAGACGGAGCTGATCCGGACGTCGACGTGAGCATCGTTCCCTAGTGAACCAATCACGACGCACTCTCTCTACGATCCGTTTTCCCAGCGCGTGTCAACACTCCTCTACCAATCACACCGCGCTGCCACCCGATCACTCCCTCTCAGCGCGTCACGGGCCCACAGCCAATCAGTACCCCGTAAGCCACGACCCCGCGCTGACCCCTGATCCTCCACCGTCAGCGCGCGTCACCACCTACACAGCCAATCATTACGCGCTGGCATACGATCCCTAATCCCAGCGCGTATCACCTCTACATACTCATAAATTAAAAAAATAATAATTAGGAAGGCCTGTGAATTGGTTGTGCAATTAGTGTTTTGGCCAACCAACTTTACCCTATTATCTTCAATTATAGTACCGTATACAAACGAGCCGATAACTATTTACAGATCCTTAATCAATGCACAATTATGAACAGAGCCGAACTCTTCGAATGCAACCGAGCCATGAAAACGATGCTGATCTCCCGCCGGCGTGTGTATTTGTCGTTGTATTGTGAATGTGAGGTGGTGGCGCACTGCGTGGTTAGTACACTGCGTTAAAAATTCGGCCATCTGAGTTCAATTCCCAGTCACAGTTAACATCAATGGTGAGTGATATCTGAACCGGTCCTGGGCTTACACTTATAAGTCAATGCAGCTTCATTTGCATACCTGGCGTGGCGTGTAAATATCAGCACCGGAGAGACAAAGGCGGCCAGGAGCGGTTATGGGCGTACCACCTCTTCTTACACCGTGTTGGCCTTCATAGGTGCTCGCAAACAGAACTCACTCCGAGCAGCCAGCTGTGTTAGTGTGGGCTATGCGAGTGCAAAGTGCTGCTGCTGTGAATGTGCAGAGCACGTGTCACTGCCGGGGATGATTTGAGTGTGGTGCGCGGGCTGCGTGCGTTTCAGTTCGCAAGTCAAAGCAGCTCGACTCTCATCACTCAGATTCAACGTTCTCGTTCCAAATTCTTCTCCATTGCGGCCCAGACCTCCACCTCGTGTCGCCACGGAGTCACATTTGTGACATTCAGCCCCATACACACACGCACAGCTCCCTTCTTCCGCTCTCTCCTTACCATTGTACTACTAATGCGCAAACTTGAAATTCTGATGCAGCTCCCGTCTAACTATATTGATATCTCATATAATGACCTCGAACCAGTGAAACTAGTCTGACAGGGACTACACAAATGTTCAGCATTCATAACCGGTGATGTGCCAAGATAGTGTGTTTTATCAAATCCCGTGCTCGATGTTTGATTTCAACAATTAAACACTTGCATCGTCTATCTTTTCTATCCCTATTATTTCGTAACATATATTTCACACTTTCTACTATTTTATCATTTATCTTCAGTTAATATTCATGTCATGGCCATTTCTTAATGAATGTTTTGCTCACTTAACTTGTATTAAGTAAAACCGTTACAAAGTTTTCATATCGTCAGAGCTGCAAAAATATATATTTTATATTTAAATGTTTATTCATTCGTATGAGTGGAGTAACTTCGCTTACTTCTCAATGCAACCCCACTGTCATTTAAAGGACGCAAGGACACGTTGAGATGAGTGTTTTTTTTTGGGAAGTCAGACCTTGGTGAAGGAAACTGCATGGTGGATGATGTCTCAAACATTATCATGCAATATACATACTTTTTAAAAGTTATATAATTTACCAAAACAAAGATCCCCTGTGCAGCCATGCAAGCCATGCAAGCCGCTAGGGGACGTGCTGTTAAGCGAGCACCAATAAGGCTTGAACGGCGTGGTTAGGAACCACGCCTGGCCGCCTTTGTCTCCACAACGTATGTTTACAAATCGCACCAGGCACTAATTTAAGACTGAGTCAACCTATTTAGGAGACCCAAGACCGGCTCATATATTAGTCACTGCTGTTATCCGTGATCCGTGACTGGAAATCGAACTCTGGTGGTCACGTTCATAGCGCAGTCTGCTAACCACTGCTCATGTTAAGGCCACATACGTCACATGCTCAGGACCACTGCACAGCACTTGAATCTGTCACTGAGTACGTGACGACCCTGTAGGTCTACAGCACGTGCCTCGGCTGTAGTAGCTATATAGCTTGCAGCTTTGGTTATCTGACCGACTGTTTTCCCATAGGTTACACGCGGAGACAGAGAAGACATTTACTCGTTTGGAGATGTTGGTTGGGTTGTTGCCTTGATGGACCGTTAAGGATGGTGACGGCTGAGGAATGTACTCATCAAGCAGTGAATCGATCATGGCTGATTGATGATGATGGTTGTTGGTGTTGTGACTGGCAGTCTGTTACAACTAAAAAAGTACTTTGAATGAAGAAAGAAAACGCACTCACATCACATGAGTCCGATCCAACCAGGGTTGATGAGTCACACTGTCTCACGGTCACGATGCTGGGCTCATGACCACGCTCGCGGTGAGCACTGTCTGTCTCGCGAATTCTCACAGAGCAGCTCGGGCAAGCGAGACAAAAGCAAAACGCCGACGGCTCACACACATTCTGCTCCAAGGCCGTAGCCATGGAGTCAACATTGGGGGGAACCAAATCTTCCAGGGGGTCTGGGAGTCCCCCTCCAGAAAAAAATCAATCTCATTTTGAAAACGAATTTCCTGCCTAAAATATGAAAAAATGCACTAACACATAGGATGGACTTTTTATTTATTTTTTACAATGTCTAATAGTGTATTGTATTACATTGCTCTGTTTTTTTCTTTTTTACCTTTTCTTGTTTCATTATATAACTACAATCATATAAACCCAAATCTATTTTATAGCAATATATTGGGGGGGGGGGGGGGGGGGACGGGACATTTTGAGCATATTTGGATATTGGGGTGAATGTGTCCCCCCAATATATATTATAATTATGGTCGTGTTCTGCTCACATCCTCTCGGACGCCTTTCATTCCTTGGCTGCCTCCCTGTTATTTATTTTGACCAGCGCCCATCATCACTTTTAGCCATGACGTGTTCTGCCCGTGTTCTTTAATCCATATCGCACTGCATAAATAGAAATGGCTTAAATAGTAACTGCAATGTGCACACTGGATGAATGCCTCCCAACGTGCTATCGGTCGTAGTGAGTGGTTGTTTAACCATGCTTCACCATGGTTAGACAACCACTCACTACGAATTGGGGGAGGGGGGACAGGTCAGGTTAAGATATCACCACTGACATATTGTGCTTTAAGCACTGCGCCACTCAATTACACTGCGTTAATATATCGTGGATCATATTGTTCTCAGTTTATATAAAACTACTTTTGGTGACTTTAAAGTCTGATGAAAACACAGTCATTCATTCAGAAGATGCAAATTAAGGCCCTTAATGGACTCACGTAGAGTTAAATTAAGAAAGCAACTTGTTAAATATGTATGTATTCTGCATCAATAGCTTTATTCTGAAATCATGCAAAATAATCATTAAGCTTACTTAATAGGCTTTACACCCAGCGGTAATTGATAATTACATAGATAACCTGCGCAAATGTGACGACAAAACCACACGCATCCCACGTAATCACTATACAAGTTAACATAAGTGGATAATGAATTGAAAATTTATCTCAGATGTCCTCAACAAGCTAAAGATAGGCATATGCAAAGCATGTTTAAATTGAAAACAGTGGGTGTGATTCATATGTTGGTGGAAAGCCAATTACAGTTGGCGAATTGCTGTCTGCACCTTTTTCACTCTTGGCTCCACCGAGGTGGAGCGATTATCCAGGGTTTAAACGGTCCCCACTGACAACATGACTTAAACCCGATTTGTGTAAATAATAAAAACTATACATTAAATTGAATACTAAATTCATTAATGACGAATCATGCTAGTCTTGATCGACTGAATCATGTTTGTAATTTATAATTCAGTAACGGAAAATAGGATGAACAGATAAAAATCAGTAAACATATCTCCCCCTTTCCAAAATGCAAGTTTGCTTTGTGAGAGGGCGTGTCCTGTTCTGGAGAGCAAGCAAAACTAGTCAAGTGGAAGTGATTAGCTGGTTGTGATTGCTCGCTAGACACCTATTGATTAAAGATTAAATCATTTTTTTGAAATCTACAATATTACTGAATAGATTTATCAAAATATTTTCATAATCATTCCAATATTCATGATGTACTATGAAAAGACATTACTCAAAACGTCATCTATTGTATATTTAATTAATGTAATGCAGGGTTATTGAATGTGTTAAGTTTTATGTACTTACATATTTATCGTTCCACTTTATTTGGGAAACAAAAGTAGCATGAAGACGAACCAATCGTACACAACGAACTCTAAGCAATGGCGAGACGATGGAAAAAGCTGCCAAAGCTAGCAGAGTATAGCACGCACCATTCGTGCACAGCAGGAGAAGGGAACGTTTTTTATCATGAGAGTCAAATAGCACTTACAAATAGCTTTTGGCTGGCCACACATTACAACACACTGTCACGTTATCTGATAATAAAACAAAATATAATTGAGGATCACCTTTACAGGTGAATGTGTATTCTAAAATGATGAACAGAGTGTTGTTAGGTCAAACATATTCCTTTCTAGTACCGGATTAGTGTGGATATGATCCATGCAGTGATACATAATTATAATTCATAAAGTTGCAGGCTAAATAGTGTAGGTTCCCAAAGAGAGTTCGCCTAACTTGTGCAGGGACTGGTGGCTGTGTGTATGTATGTGCCTTTGGTGCGGTGGCTCAGACCAGGTGAGCAGCAATTGGCTGCTTCTGAGCATCGAGCAAAGGGTTTTTCTCGCCAGACTTGTTCCTGATGAATTTCATCCAGTAGAGAGTCCATGGGCCGTGGCTTAGCTCCATTCCCGGTGGGGCCACGGGAGTGTACTGGCGATACTTCCTGTTTCCAGCAATAAAGGAGAGGGCAGACAATTGACACAAAGAGAACAACCCGCGGAAATGGATATCAGAGAGCTACCTCTGAAATCCCTTGAAATACCCTCTTGTCCACACAGCAGGGGGCAGCCCTTTAATCTACCTCGCATGATAATCACACTGATTAGTTACATTTTCATGGCTGGAATTAACATTATTAAGTGCATAACCAAATTTGTAGAGAATTGTGTGCTGTCATTGGCGACTGAGCTGAGACCATCAACTCACTACATTTGAGAATCCAGTTAAATCACAGGCAGCTGCGGGGATTTGAAACCCACCAAGATCTCAGCGATGCCAGCGATGGGCTCTGACCTCTGAGCCATCTGATTCATTAAAAGTTGTATCTGTTACAACAAATGGGGGGTTGACTCTATCTGTGTGTACCTTAAAAGTGTGTTTGTAAAAACTTTTAATCTTTAGTAAATTATTGGAGGTGTAGAAGCACTTACTTGTGAAAGAGCAGTCCTAGGAGGATAAGAGGAACGATGCCTCCAAAAAAAATGGCTGGTCCCAAAAGCTTTGCTGATGTAGACTCTGAAAGCATCAGTAAATACGTTCAAGGTTAATTTAATTGTCTGCAACATGAGCTTCTGGTCACAATTATATATTTAGTAAAGATGTCAAATTGCTTAATTGTATAGCTCGACATGCTATTTATATAATAAGACGTTTCATTTGTTTGTATATATGCATGTGAGTCAATCTTTCAGTCACAGCACTTACTTGAGTGATTTACATTGTAGAGAGGCGAATAATGGATACTTTTACCAGAAGGAACCAGGGATCCACGGTATTGATACTAAACTATGTATGAAGTATGCCTTTTGACATATTTAAATATATATATAAAACACGGCCGGATATGTTCACCTGCGTTGAAGTCCACGCGGGTACTAACGACGGCCAGGCTCACTGCATCAGCCAGTGAGACGTTGAGGCAGAAAATGCCCGACCCGTTGAACTGCTCGCGCAGGGTCAGGGAGCACGGGTCTCCTGCACCCAGCGCCAGTGGGCGGCACGACGCGCTGACGGGCCCCACGCACGTCTCGTCCGATACCACGGTGCACACTTCGCTCGGCAAACTGCGTGCGTCACGACACAGGGGCCATGGGCGAGGGTTACGATAACGAAATTAAATGGGGGTTACGTTAATGAGATGAGAATTATACACTTACGAGATGAGTCGTGGATTACGCGAACGAGGTGGGACGAGGGTTACCTCACTAGCAAGATGAGATGAGGATTGCGTAAAAGAGACGAGTGTTATAGTAAAAGAGATTATTCATGGGATATGCTAACGAGATGAAACAAGGGTTGATGCTAATGACACAAGCTCAAGGTTTCCCTAATGAGACAAGAGTTATTGCCAACAAGATGATCTTGTGAGTGTCAACAGTTATAACAATTGGCAAAAAAGAATCATATATTATGGTATTTTTGTGGGCATACATCTCCATATATATAAAAGGCAAAGCTGTGAATGTGTGTCTGTTCAAAATGTTTCGCGTACTTCCCGACATGCAACAAACTTGAAATTTGCCATGTGGGTACTTTCCAGACTGTACACCATGCAAAAATTATTAAAATAGACTTTTGTGTTTTTTTTGGGGGGGGGAGGTAGCTCAATAATGCATATATGTTTTGCACGGCAAGTGAGCTGTGAAGTCAAATCTGTCACGTGACCCGCGCACGTGGTAGCGTAACGCATTGTAGTGTCGTGGTGAGCGCGCTGCGCGACGAACCCGGCGACCCGAGTTTGATTCCCGCTCACGGCCACCACCGATGACGATTATTTGAACCGCTCCTGGGCCTCCCCTAGGTCGACTCAGCCTCAAACGAGTAACTGGTGTGGTGTGTGAACATCGCCACTAGGGAGACAAAGGCGTCGTGAATCCAAGTCCCGGGCGAAGCCGGGTAGTAAAGCTAGTTTTTATATAAAATGTTTTTTTATCTGAAAAAAGCATGTATCAATTCGTGCTTGTGAGAATTGATTGTTTACAATTTATGCAAATGGTATCCCAATGTTATTTTAGGCAAATTGAGAGAAAAAACGTATAAACGCGACAGAAGAAACAGAAAAACAATACCAAGAAGGTGGTAAAGCATGACATAAAACAAATTCGATTCTTCAATCGCATCGTGACCCTACCATTTTGACGATTCATTGAGTTATTCGGGCGGTGAATTGTTACAAGTTTAGTATTTCCTCCAATTTGCTTTCAAACAAAAAAAGATTGGAGGAAATTACCTTCTGCCAGCACATGACTCACGTCCCCGGTCGAACTATCTGCATAAAACACTGCGCGCAAGATGCTCATGTCTAAGCGGCAATGATCTCTGATGATGAGGAGAATAAATCAATAAACAACTCCAGTGATTTCATTCAATATTTCAAAACAACAACAGTTATTTAATTCATATAAACACACACATAAGTATTACAAAGTATTTACTGATGTGTTTTAACTGCGTGTCGGTGCTGCTATTTACTTAAGTAGAAATTAAGCGAATATATATGTAAACTAGCGGTAAGTACCCGGCGTTGCCCGGGCGAAAAACGCAGACACACACATGGACTTGCACACAGCCATCGACCCACACACACAGAAACACATGGACTTACACGCACACACACAAATCGACTCACACACACACGTAGACTTACACACACATATCGACTCACACATACATACATAGACTGAACAACAACCGCCATTCGCCACTAAGTGATGGTGACGTCACGACAACGCTTGCGCCAGGCTATGTGCACCTTGAGGCCACGTGAAGTGTCGAACGCCCGCTGGCAGGAGGTCACGGGGCAGACCCAGATAGCACAGGTCGACTGACTGAGACGACTGGCTGATGCACCACCTGTGCCCCCTACTGTGGCAACTTGCTGTGCTTCAGCCACCTGGCGCTCCACTCGTTGTTGTGAGCGTCGCTCCTCCGCCCTCCGTTGCTGTTGGAGGGTGACTGCCTCCAACTGCCCAGTAGCGTCCTTTATGAGCCTCCTCCACTGAGGCCGATCTTGACACGGCTGGTACCAGTCATCGGCAAGTCCACTCAGCTCCACGTCCTCCTGTACCACATCACTCCATCTCTTCTCTAGCTCGTGCCGTGCCCGTTTAGCCCCCTCGATCCAGCCGAACAAAAGCTGTTTAGGCATGCAGTGGCTGGGCATGTGGGCACCCTTGCCTGCCGGAGAAGCTCACCGATGGGACTTTGTCCACATCTTTCAAGGATTTGTGAGCTCCTCACACAATCCAGCGTGGTTAAACCCAGGATGGATCGTAGGCAGACCATCCTAAATGTTTCTAACCGGCGAAGATGTTCCATTAGGGGGTCCAAGTTTCGCAAGCGTAGAGAAGGGAAGGAATGACCGTGGCGGAGAAGACGTGAAGCTTCGTGCGGAGTGATAGACCAGGTAGCTTCCACACAGCTTTACGCAACCGATGAAAAGATAATGCGGCTCGACTGATTCGGAGTGAGACCTCTGCTGTTAAACCGGAGCCAGTCATGAGTACACTGCCAAGGTATGGAAAACTCTCCACTCTCTCCACAACTTCCCCATCACAAATTGGGAGTTGTGGGGGTAGAGTGTCCGATGGTACATAGACTCACACACACATTAACCTACACAAACACACATATGGACTTACAAAGACACACATATCGATTAAGACACACACAGGGACTTACACACACACATGGACTCATGCACACACATAGACTCACACACACACATATGAACTTACACACACATATCGACACACATGGACTCTCACACACATACACACATTGCCGTACACACATCGACTGATACACATAGACTCCCACACAAAATACATGGACTCACACACACACATGGATTGACACACACTTGGATATTTTGCGCCCGGGGACGAACTATAAAATTGGCGCCCCCCTCCCCCCCATTTAATCACATTTTACTCTTACATCGAATAAGGAATAACAATTTACATTTTAATGAAACATTGTATTTAAAGAAGCAAATTTATAGAAATTATATTACATGGCTCACTCAGTCACTGTCGTAGACTGGTTGACATAGTCTACAAAAGATTAATTTTTCTTGATTTCACTGTCGCAAACTGGTCAATCACGTAATCAAAATCAGTTTTTTCCAATATTTCTCTTTCAGCATGTAAATACGACAAAATAAGTTTCAATTTTCTGAACGACCGCTCACAGCTTGCAATTAAAACTGCTATTGTTAATAAAATTTGCAGTGAAATTCGAAAATTCGGAAATATGTCGTCTCCATAAAACACAATACAACCAAGAAGATCCAAAGGAGTTTCTGGTAGAACTTCATTCCGGTTACTGAGCAGCATTTTGCAATCTCCAATTTCTGTGAAAAGTTCGTGGCCATTGATCTCGGTGTCATAGAAATTTCCAAAATCTGTGCAATTTCCACGAATTGCATCGACATCTGTGTCAGATAGAAGAGTTTTGACGTCCAGCAGAAATCAAAATTTTGTGTTCAAGTCTTTTAGTCGTAAAAAACGTGCTGACATCTCCTGTTGAAGTTGATAAAATACGCTCTTCATAACGCGTCGTAGTTTCCGCCACCAAAAAACAGGCCAGTGACTAAGGCTGAAAGACTGCGCCTGTCTGTTGTTTGGGACGTTCTTCCATGTAAGTTCTTAATAGGCGCGCGTACCAAAATGTAATTACATGACATGTAGGCTGTGTGTGGCGGGATATATAAACTTTTAGGTTGAGGTGTAGATTTGTGCAGTAGTTTCAGGCTGCCGCGTCCGGCGCAATAAGTTATAATGTAACGTTGTAAGCCTCATTTTGGCGCCCCTTTACCTTGGCGCCCGGGAACATATGTACCCCCCTGCCCCCTAGCTACGCCTCTGTACGCACACACACACACACACGTACGTACAGACACACACACATGGACCAAAACACACACAAAGAAATGAACTTACACTGACTCACATGGAGCCACGCACACACAGCAACTAACACACACGCACACAAACTGACACAAACACACAGACATATCGGCTCTGACACACAGACACATGGACTCACACACACACACACATTGACTCACACACACAGACACATCGACTTACACACACACATCGCCGCAGACACGCACATTCTAATAAAGCAGGCTGTTTTAGGCTGAATTGGGGTGACGTCGCCTTCACCAAACCACACTGACCAAGGTGATGAGGTATATTCAAATAACCCCCACGACCCACACGGTATGAGGAGACCCTCATCCAACAGTGGATTTACAATGAGCTATACATATACTTTTTTTTTTAAACACACGAATGGTAAAAGAAAGAGCAATTACATCCACCTTCATATTGTAGGCTGTGTTTACACTGCATGACCACACCATGTATGTCCATCTCTGGACCGCTGGGCTCACCTGCCACTGCACGTGACCATAAAATCCACGGCACCACCGCCCTGCATCATGATCGCCGACGGCATCAGCGCCACGACGGCGACGCTCGATATCCCCTCTGGTGCAGAGCACATGAATCCACAAGCAATGAGCACAAAAAGCCGTAGCTTGCACAATAGCATTAAGAAACACTAACTACCTAACCCATGAAGCAAAATTTATCCAAGCTTCACGAGGATTGATATATTCATTCCTTTATATCGAGGACCACTTTTGGTCACATTTGAGTCAGCAGGAAAAGATGAATGAAGAAGTAACACGAAACAACATTTGAAAAGCATAAATGTATCATAGTAGAGTATACACAGATACATACAGGGTTACCCAAAAAAAACGGGCCCCAACTCTAAAACGGGGCCCGTTTTTTTTGGGTCACCCTGTATATTGAGAAAAATATAGAAAACAGAAATGAGATTGAAAAAGAGTATATGCATACTCGTGAAATACATCATTCAGTTTTGAAAAATGTAAGTAAATAAAAAGCACAAACAAAATCACGTAGGTAAAAGTGATAATGATCGTGCCGCCGAGTGATCGTGGTTGTGCTGTTGTGAACGCCAGACTGAGTTTGGAAGAGTCCAGATCCAGCAAAGAGGATTCAAGAACAGCCAACTGGTTCCGTGACCAATACCTACCCTACCCAGCGACTATGGAAGATGCATTATGAAAAATACAATGCAACATGCATATATAGTAGGCTATAAAACCATATTTAGTTACCGATGTAGATTTTTGGGCGCAGAAGTAGAATGTCGTCAGATTTTATTGTTTTATTAAAGTAATCCGTTCAATTACCAAAGTGTTTGCAGTCACCTGAGCACTAAATAATTGACCTTCAACATGTGACGATCAGCTTATAATAGAAACGGCATGTGTGTAAACATATTTTGTGAATTGTTTTTCGCAAGCACAGTCAATCCACAACCAGGATAATCTGGCCACGAATAATACATCATTCAACATATTACCAAATGCATGAAAAGAGTGTCATCCTTGCATTGAGTAGGAACATGTCGGGCAGAGAAGGGTCTCTTCGTTTTAATTTAACTCCGCGCCTGCAGTTCACCATAGATAATTGTGCGTGTCCGCACCCCGCTGAAGGCCAGCGATGCGTGATGGAGAGACTGACCCACGATGGTGACGTTTGCGCTGAAGCTGCCATAGCGCACGAGCTGGCAGGTTGGAGACGGGGTAGGGGGTGATTTCGTAGATGACTGTTGCAGGTCAGCTCCATCTGGCACGGTCGCCCCTTCACCACTCGGCTGGGCTGTGGGGTTAATCACAGAGAAGCTTAACGCGCCATGCGTATTATGTTCTGTCGTGTGCATATGACCAAATCAACCAGAATGCCCTGATCTTGACAGATCTCACAAGCTAAGTATATTTGACCCTGAATAGTGTTTCTATGGGTGACCACCATATATATAAATAAGTAAATCAAATTCATTGTTGTTCTGTTCTGTGCTCAGTCTGTGGACTACACCTTCACCAACCCATACGTGACTTTACTGAAAGAACCTAAGAGTAATTCCTGCAGTCACGAAAGCTCCAAATTAAGTTTTTTTCCACACTGACCAGCATGGCAAAGTAATGTCCAATAACCCACATCACCTGTATGGTGTGGGGAGGCCTTCCATCAGTGGAATAACAAAAAGATTGTACATGTACTGTAGTATGAATAAGATGTTTTGTTGTGCCACTTATTAATGTTTTACAATGTTTTACCTCCAAACAAAGTTAAATCACATGCACATCAATTACATGTATGATTTTAAGTTCTACCCCCCTCTCTCCACCTATCTCTCCCCCCTCTCTCTTCCCCTATCTCTACCCCCTCTCTCTCCCTCTATCTATCTCTACCCCTCTCTCTCCCACTATCTCTCCCCCTCTCTCTCTCCCTATCTCTACCCCCTCTCTCAGCGAGAAACACTCCCATGCACGTGTTTGAGATTGACTGTACAATCCCTTCTTAGTACTGCAGATTATTCTTAAGTGGGGGGAATATACTGAAGGGAAAATACCATGAAGGATTAAACAACAAAAACAATAAATTGCAGCTACCAGTGGGTCCGTCCCAGGGGCCCATTTCGTCAGGCGGTAGCACAGTGGCGTTGAGGGTCCCGCATGGTGTCGGTATGACGGCCCTCAGCCACAGAGACACGCTGAATGAGCCTATAGCTGAGTATGTGTGGTTGACGGAGGCATTAGGTCCCACCACCACCTCCGTGCCATCGCCAAAGTTCCAGGCGTAGGTTAGGGTGGCGTTGCTCAGGTAGCCGCTGGGGTCGTGGGGTGTGGCGGTGAAGGACACTGGTGCGTTCTCCAGGAAGATCAGGTCTGAGCTGTTGCGATCGCCCGTCTGGGAGATCTTCACACTGAGCGGCACGGAGTCTGCGGTGAAGTCAGAGGGGGAACAACATCTGGTACTGGCGATTGGACTGTCTGGAATTAAACTTTAAGAGTGGGTGGTGTCCAGTCTCCTGGCACGGCAGTTAAAAAAGATGGGTACATTTATTAAATCGCCCTGCAGTATAAATGGGTACACCAAAGTTAATTGGCAGGTCACGTGTGGTGGGGAAAAGTGTGGGTACCCACACCTCTTCTAAGACGTCTAGCCAGTGTGGAAGTTTAGAGGCCCTTCCTTAATCATTGGTGTGAGCAAGAATTTGCAGGGTTGTGCCTTTGTCTCTTTCCGAGTGAATCTGGAATTACACAATACGGGGATTGTGGCGTGGGCTGGCAGTCGAGCGACATGGAGGGGTCAGTGGATCGTGCAGGAATGATGGACGTGAGAGGCCCACCTGCTTGGACAAAGTTTGAGTGTTATTCATGGTTTACTCCACACAATTCTGTTTCCTTCTATTACAACAGAAATTGACCAAACATCACAATCGCTCCAAAAGTATAAAGAACACCTCCCAGTGAGTTGTAGAGCTGGGTGACCATGGACTGGGTATATTTCAATGACACCAATGTCGTGCAACGACTCGATCTTGAGCACCGATTCAGCTGATTACCGGACGACTCTTTGTCAGTCTAGTGGATGGGGTCAGCTTAGGTCATCGACAAGGTGAGCTCTATCAAGCCTCCAGCCCAATAATGGTACATGGAACACACACACACCCTAATGCTCATGGTCGTTCTACACATACCACCTGTACGCTGGAATCAACGTCGTATGGTTAATGTTGCCAAGCACTAGTGAGCCAGAGCCACGGTAAACCCACCAGTCACGGTGTAGTTGTCAGTAACGTTGGCGATGGCGCACAGCTGCGTTGCGCTCTGCCTGCCGCGGTACAGGAGCAGGCTGATGTTGTGGGTGCCGACGGGGATGTCCGTGGTGTCAATTGTCACATTAGAGCGGTTCCCGTTCACCATTGTATAGTACTTGCCTGGGGGGAAGAAAAAAAACACTCCTCCGCTTCACTTTCTTAGTGGGGGTTTGGGGGGTGGTGTTTATCACCAAACCACTCGGACCTCATCAGATGTCAGAAGTCAAGCACAACTGAGCGTAGAGAATGCCTGGATGGGTACCAACATGCATAAAACAGGATGTTTTAGGTTGTGGTGCTACTTGGTAGTCAACTGAAGGCATACTCATTGGTTCTTTCGGTAAAGTCACGTATGTAGAAATAAAAAAAAATCACGACGTTTCGAACGCAACACAAGGGCTCATCATCAGGTGAAAATTGGGCAAAACACATAGCGAGGGAACACACAGAGGGACATCACACACAGAGCACGCAGAGAACGGAAAACTGCACGGAGGCAAATACAGCAAGAAGATGGGAGACGTGAACGCAACAAACCTTAGAAACATAATGCGATGCAAACCAGTCGGCCAACAACACAGTTAGACACTTAGCTGGTTGACCACGTATTTCAAAAGACTGCAAAATTTTGCGTTCATCTTCTGGGCTGAACATACCAACGTAAACAGAGGACAAGGACTCGTGAAAAGACACGAGGTACAAGGTAGCAGAGATACATACATAGAGAAGACACACGAGGAAATATGTTTTGGGCAGCACAGAGGGACAACCAGAGCAAAACCACACCCAAGAGACATACACACATGGAGAGGCACACACAGAAAGACGTCCGGAGGCGTAACGTACAGGGACTTATATAGGCTGTAGAGGTGGGGGAAGGGAAGGGGCGGAGAGAAGGACCAATGCAGGCAACAAATCGTGGGAAACAATGGGGAAACGAAAACGGAGAAAGCACATGGGAAAACGAAAACGGAGACACCAACCACGGTAAACGAAAACGAAGCCAAATTACAACAAGCAGAGATACAAACACAGAGAAGACAACACAAGTAAAGATGTTTTGGACAGAATTGTAAGGACAACCTCCTTGTAGAAGTGTATTAATCTAGAATTGAAGCTTTCGTGACTGTAGGAATTACTATACACAATTGTTGGCCGACTGCTTTGCATCGCATTATGTTTCTAAGGTTTGTTGAGTTCGCGTCTCCCATCTTCTTGCTGTATTTGCCTCCGTGCAGTTTGCCGTTCTCTGTGTGTGATGTCCGTCTGTGTGCTCCCTCACTATGTGTTTTGCCCCATTTTCACCTGATGAGCGCTTGTGTTGTGTTCGAAACGTCGTGATCTATTTTAATTTTATTTTATTTGTGATTTATTTTAATTTTATTTTATTTCTACATACGTGACTTTAGCGAAAGAACCAATGAGTATAGTAATTTCTGCAGTCTAGATTTTTTAACATGAAGGCACTTCAGCAAAATCTATTGTTGTACTGTACAGTGGCGGCTCCTGCTAAATCTCTCGGGGGGCAAATGTCTGGATGATTGATAAGGATAAGGTCCACCCATGCAATGGATAAATTAACAGCTTAAGCATGTAAAGGCAACTTCACTTCTTTAATATTAATGAAAAATAAAGTGACTCTTACAATACATCTTGTTTGTTTCTATACTCACTATTAATACAATCCACTCAAGTTTCTTTTATTAAAGATTCCACTAGGTGGCGACAAATAATATTGTTGGATGAAACGTGCTTACGTATGATGACGTAAGCACGTTAGGGCAAGCCCTCCCGGAAGCCATAGAGAATGCATTGCAGCGCCCCCGTTCGAAAAAAAACATCTTTGAATGTAAGTCTATGGGGCCACTCGGGGCGATTCTCAGCCGGAGTGAAATCGCCCAAAAAGAGGCGGTACTCCACAGAACGTGACATGACGCTGATTGGACTATATCCAGAGGCACAGTGACGGCTAGCGTGACTCTGTGGTTGAATGACATTGGTGGTGCGTCGCCCAATCGCCCTAATGAAGAAACCGCCCCTGGTACTGTATATGTTCCTTTGTCTTTGCTCCCCGCTTGCATAAACTCACACTGAGCAACGTGATTAAGTATGATCAAATAACCCCTATGGTCCGTACGGTGTGGGGAGGCCATCATCCAGCAGTTGATAGACAAGAAGGGCTGTGCGAATACTCGAAAAAATGGCGATGTCATGGGGAATAGGCAATGGCTGACAAGGATAATGATAATAATGTTAACGGTCGTAGGCACCTTCTGTAGACCAGATGTACACGTAAAGCCTAGGCAGGTATCTCCGACGATGTCGATTACGATGGAATAGCTTTCCGTTAGGGAATGTGTTGTTCTGCTCATCGTCTTGAGACCAATTCTCTTCACCGTGGTCCTCCTCCCCCTCCTGCAGAGGCCATTCCCTGGGCGCCGGCGCCTGCCCTGTAGGCGCACACCGAATGGGAGGATGAGCTGTGCGATCAGTGGCTCGATGAGACCTGCACGATCATTTCTTCACTGAAGGACATGACTGCATGTTTCTCTATGCAAGCACGACACAAAATTCTGTGTGTTGTGAACTCACAAAGCAGGAGTCAAAAGGATTAGAGAGCAAGATCTGAATAATACACATACTGTATAGTTATATTAATTAAACATATTGTTTTTCAATAATTATTTGATTGCATACAATGTTTTGGCAATATAGTTATTGGATCATGTACCAATATGTACACAAAAATGAGGGTTAAAAATAAAGGAAACAATTGGTCAATGAAATGTTATAAATTTCGCATCTCAATTGCTAATCTTTTTCACTAACCCATGTATATCTTACATATATTCATATTTCAGCCCAAATTAAAAACAAGTCATAAAAAATGTTGACGAGCTTGTATGTTCTTCCCTTGCATGCGGTTCATAGTAACCATGCAAGCAGGACTTAAGTTGATATTTTCCAGGCTGCCGACTAAGACAGACCTGGATGATATTAAGCTTCCCATCGCAAGAGTCCGATGGATGAGTAGTGGGTGGGGTTGTCAGAGGAATGGGTAAGACCTACAGTGAGGGAAAAAAGTATTTGATCCCCTGCTGATTTTGTACGTTTGCCCACTGACAAAACATGATCAGTCTATAATTTTAATGGTAGGGTTATTTGAACAGTGAGAGACAGAATAACAACAACAAAATCCAGAAAAACGCATGTCAAAAATGTTATAAATTGATTTGCATTTTAATGAGGGAAATAAGTATTTGACCCCCTCTCAATCAGAAAGATTTCTGGCTCCCAGGTGTTTTTTATACAGGTAACGAGCTGAGATTAGGAGCACACTCTTAAAGGGAGTGTTTTGTTACCTGTGTAGGGGTTATTACGGGGAGAAGGGCGGACAGAAAACACAAGGGTGTCTGCACCCACACACGGGTGTCTACATCCACGTCCGCATCCGTTAACCCTGGGGGGCCATGGGGGCGCTGTGATCCCCCATAACTCCACCCCTCGGAGGAGATTCCTATAAAAAGCGGGGAGCCAGAGAGCTCGGGGCCAGTGTGGAAGAAGCTTACCAGTGAAGTCTGAAGACCGGCAGAATAGGCCCTGGGACTCCCCTGTCTCGCTGCCCTTGTCAGGGCCGAGCAGGGCAAGCCAGTGGCGCGGCCCCAAGAGCTTCTGTACCTCTGCTCTTGTAAGAGCAAGGCCGGGTGAGCTGGGTGCCGGGATCCGTGCTTTACCAGGGCCGGATCAGATAGCCTCCCATAGCACTATTAGAGGAGGACTGGGAATAGGACAGGGGAAACAGTGCTAGGGGTGTTTTCCCATCTAGTACGGGTGAAGGGGCCGTTACCCCTTCAAGTATTGTTACTGCCCTTGAGTTGAATAAAAGAGTGTGCCTCGACTCCGTCGTCAGTCTCCCTGGAACTCACTACACCTGTATAAAAGACACCTGTTCACAGAAGCAATCAATCAATCAGATTCCAAACTCTCCACCATGGCCAAGACCAAAGAGCTCTCCAAGTGTGTCAGAGACAAGATTGTAGACCTACACAAGGCTGGAATGGGCTACAAGACCATCGCCAAGCAGCTTGATGAGAAGGTGACAACAGTTGGTGCGACTATTCGCAAATGGAAGAAACACAAAAGAACTGTCAAGCTCCCTCGGGCTGGGGCTCCATGCAAGATCTCACCTCGTGGAGTTGCAATGATCATGAGAATGGTGAGGAATCAGCCCAGAACTACACGGGAGGATCTTGTCAAAGATCTCAAGGCAGCTGGGACCATAGTCACCAAGAAAACAGTTGGTAACACACTACGCCGTGAAGGACTGAAATGCTGCAGCGCCCGCAAGGTCTCCCTGCTCAAGAAAGCACATATACATGCCCGTCTGAAGTTTTCCAATGAACATCTGAATGATTCAGAGGACTACTGGGTGAAAGTGTTGTGGTCAGATCTTTGGCATCAACTCAACTCGCCGTGTTTGGAGGAGGAGGAATGCTGCCTATGACCCCAAGAACACCATCCCCACCGGTAAACATGGAGGTGGAAACATTATGCTTTGGGTGTGTTTTTCTGCTAAGGGGACAAGACAACTTCACCGCATCAAATGGATGATGGACGGGGACATGTACCGTCAAATCTTGGGTGAGAACCTACTTCCCTCAGCCAGGGCATTGAAAATGGGTCGTGGATGGGTATTCCAGCATGACAATGACCCAAAACACACGGCCAAGGCAACAAAGGAGTGGCTCAAGAAGAAGCACATTAAGGTCCTGGAGTGGCCTAGCCAGTCGCTAGACCTTAATCCCATAGAAAATCTGTGGAGTGAGCTGAAGGTTCGAGTTGCCAAACGTCAGCCTCGAAACCTTAATGACTTGTAGAAGATCTGCAAAGAGGAGTGGGACAAAATCCCTCCTGAGATGTGTGCAAACGTGGTGGCCAACTACAAGAAACGTCTGACCTCTGTGATTGCCAAAAAGGGTTTTTCCACCAAGTACTAAGTCATGTTTTGCAGAGGGGTCAAATAGTTATTTCCCTCATTAAAATGCGTTTTTCTGGATGTTGTTGTTATTCTGTCTCTCACTGTTCAAATACACCTACCATTAAAATTATAGACTGATCATTTCTTTGCCAGTGGGAAAACATACAAAATCGGCAGGGGATCAAATACTTTTTCCCTCACTGTATGAGCAGTAGGCAGGAGCAATGTCAAAAGGAGTAACGGAGATAGCGATATAAGGACGTGGCTATGTATAAGAAGGTGGGGCTGATGGATGAAGGGGTTGTCATTTCACACTGCGTCCCAGATGAGCCTCCCAGAAATACTGGTAGCTTTATCGTACCGTCGTATGTGTGGTTCCATGCTGCGGTCCCGTTGGCGCCGTGCCAGGGGGAGATTATTGACACGCTGACGGTCAGCTTGGAGCCCACAAGAGTCGGCCCATCGTTTGTCACATTCACGGTTACGTTCCTTACTGCGGGGAAAAGAGAGGCAACTCAAACGAGCGGGCTGATATCCACCCAGACAATTTTTGAGAATCAACATCTACGCATAAAATGTTGAGACAAAAATAAGCCAAGGTGACCTCCACTGTAACGTAATTTTCAGATGAAAAATTTCCACAGGGTTGCATTGAGTGAGCTGTATGCAGCTCAATTGTGATTCATGATAATAATCACCACCAGCAGAACAGAAATAAGAATAAAACATCGATGCCAGATATTAAGCAGCATCCATTTTTTACCAACAGGCACTGGCAAGTGTGGCGAAGTTATAGTTAAACAACCCCCATGATCGACAAGGTGTGGGGACGCCTGCATCTAGCTGTTGATTAACAAAGGACTGTAAACACTAACATGTGATGAAGCAAGGTTGCAAACTATTACTGAAACAGCATGGGAAAGCAATCATCCAGCAGCGGACTGAAAAAGGCTAGAATTTATTTGTTGAACAGTCACCTTGTAAATAAATAAATTACAGATAAATTACAGAATAAAAGCTCACATCATTGTTGCAATGCATTCTGAATTTCAATACGAGTTCTTGAGACTAAACACTTTTTTTATTTTGCAGCTCTGCATTGGATGCGGTGGGAAGCTGTGAAAGAGATTAACTCGGCCAGCAGCGACGCCGGTCTCGGCCGTTATCCGAGCGGATTGGGTATCGATCCTCGTCCCAGAAGCTCGAGTCGGTTGACATCCAGCCGTCCCCGAGTGAAGCATGGGCGGGCAGATCGTGCCATCGCCCATGATGGCCCACCACCTCGGAAAAACCTGAGCGCGCAGGTCACACAATTGGGAAATAAATCAGAATTCATCAGCCAAGGGGATTGAGCCGCAGAGGGGTAAGACGTCATCACTCATCTCTCTTCTGTATGCAACTGCAAATGTTCACAAAACGCGAGCATCTTTATAAAAATCGTGACAAAAGTTTGTCAGCCTTTGTTCGCGCTTGTTGAATGTCATTTTACTTAATAGATGGAAATGTCAGAAGTCAAGACCACAATTTTAATGGATTATCACAGCCTTTTCACTATTTCTATTTGGCAGTATGAATTGAAGGTTTCAAGGATAGTCTAACAGAAAATAACGTACTTCACAAATCATACCGTAGAAACTTTATATTTACAGTAAAACCTTGAATTGCAAGTAACTTGGTCTGCGAGTGTTATGCAAGACGAGCATTTTAAAAAAAATAACTTAATTTGATAAACGAGCAAGGTCTTGCAATACGAGTACTGTAGTACGTACAGTATATGCTTTGTCTGCCGCGCGTCACGTGATCACAACTGAGCTGATGGTTCTTCTCTCTCTCTCTGTGGGATTGTGGGTAATCATCTCCCATGCTCGGTCTCAGTCGGCGTGCCTCACTGGTATAGTCAACATTCGTGCGAGCATATACTGTTTACTATAGTGTTGTGACCACGAGTGTGCGTAAAGCATTTTTTAATTTCGTGTCCAAGTGTAGTGGCTGTTCTTTAGTAACTGTACTGCAAGTGAAAGTCGTCCTACACAATAACCCTCCTCTCCTCTCTCTCGTCTCCATCACACCAGCCACGATTACATTTAATTAATAAATTTGATTACTTTATATTAAAATTAAATAATAATAAATAAAAAGGTATTTGTATTAATCATTATTAGATGAATACAGTATTTTTGGGTTGTGGAACGAATTATCTAAGTTTCCATTATTTCTTATGGGGAAATTCGCTTTGATATACGAGTGCTTTGGATTACGAAGCACGTTTCCGGAACGAATTATGCTCGCAATCCAAGGTTTTACTGTACGTAGTGAGTTCAACTGAGTCGCAGACGTTATTTTTTAGAGGCAACACATTTACTATATCAACACGTAATACACAAAGGGGTAACTGACCCTTTACCAGATACAGCCGAGGGTGGTGACCACCCAGCTAACTACACTATACGGAGGAGTTACAGCTATGAAGAGTCCGCCTCTCACTCGTGTCCCGGCCACGTGTTGATGCCTTGTAGGACGTAGAGCTTCCAGCTTGTAGGACGTGGAGCTTCCAGCTTGTAGAACTGAAGCGACCCCGGTCTCTCTCAGAGACCCACCTTATATCCTCCCGGGTCGGGGCTGGCTCCACCCAGGCCCCACCCACCTTCTCGAGCGTTCTAGCTCCCTCTCCATCCCTCTCGAGAGCTCTCCCCGGACACGTGATCACCCCCTAGCCCCCCCACCTGGGGCCCTCTCTGTGGACACTCCGGATCACAGTGTCTACGGGGTCAACTAGAGTACCATGGCCCGGGGCAACCCGGTCCCTGGGCTGACACTCTCCCGCTCCCCCTTGTGGGAGCCCGCACTACATGCTATGCACGGTGCACACGCTATTCCCAGCGTTCACCAAGCCCCGCTAGGGCTGGTACTACACCCATCTATGGGGTGTACGCGATGACGGTGCGTCGCACGCCGTGCTATAGTAAAGCCGGCATCACAGAGCAACCCACCCAGTGCTGTCCGCGACGTAGGAACATCACACGCCACGACTCTCCCGGGCCGGCACCATACAGTGACATCCCCGATGTCACTACATATACATGAGATGTTATATAAAAATGATTAATGTTTTTACATTAATGGGGGTCAAAAAGATTTTGCTCGAATTAATGATTTCCCTTTTGCTCAAGGCCACTCACTAAAGAATGTGACTGCATGAGTTGTATGTGCGTACACACATCCGTATGCACTACATGTGCTCATGTGCACATATGTATGTACCTTTGTATTTATATGTATGTGTTAGTTCGTGTTTGCTATACTATTAGTACACTTCGTTGTTGGTCACTCAGTGCTACAATCATTCAGGCCTTTGCTCAGAAATTGCGGTTAGATAAACGAATGTAAACTTTATATATTTTATGTGTAAACAAGTACAGTAATTGCACACATGTGATATAACCTGAGCACACACGTACACATTGTAGATCGGCTCAGCGCATGGCCACATTCAACAGGAGAGATTTCCTCCAGTGACACGACATAAATTATAATCAAGCCCTTTATATACCAAAACATCCTCACTGAGGCTCAAGAGTATTTTACTGCATTGGGATGTTTCGCCAATTCCATGCATGGTTGGCATGTATGAGAAAAATGTAGTATCAGGAGAAAACCCACCACTCATAAAAGGGTGTACAGTAATACCAAGTCCCACCAGAGATATATTCAAGAATCTGTGGCTGTACTGCCATTTCCTGGCCACCTTGCAACTCAAGCCTACAACACATGGTTTGGTATTCTAACATACTGTGTTGTGATGGCCTACTTACGTCTTCCAGAGTGCGCTCCAACCACTCCGAGACACAGGAGCAGCGAAGCGAGGTAGAGGACTGGCGGTTCCATCTCCACCTCGGGAGGACCCTGCGCCACAGCTGGAAGCCCCTGTTCCTGCTGGGACAAGCGAGCCGCTCGTTTATATCCCTGATCCTTCCCCACACTCTGAACCCATGAGCTCACACACTGTGTGGTTTGTCATGTGGCCGCTTTGGCGGACTGCCCACGTGGCTTCAAGGGAGCAAAATAATTAATAAAATCAAACACTAAACCCATCAATGCATGTCCACTTGGCAAACAGTTGAGATGGTCATGTAATGTGCATGCACATAAACTCGTGGCCATCACATGATGCGCCCTTGAGTCAGACAAGAGCTGCAATAATTGTACTTTTGTCCAAGTTGTACAGAATGCATTCCAACAATAATACCGAACGACCAGTGGTATAGTTATTGAGTGTACAGATAGTGTAACTGCACCGCGGTGCCTGGGCCACAGGGACCCAGAACTCTCCGATTTATGGATATTCTGCTCTGGGGCGGCCGATTGGTAAAATAATACACAGCGTTTACCGATAGAAAATGCTCACTGACTTCTATCTGAATGCAGTCACACCATACCCCCGCACAGAAATCCTCTCATCAAGATGCTCATACATCGGGATAAGAAAGTGTCAGATGGCGAGAGTCTGAGAAGTGAAATGAAACATGTTAAAGCGCTGCAATTGAACAGTTGCAATGATGGACAAATCAACAGGACACTGAATGCCAAAACTAAATCAAATAGCAAAAGCGTTGAAACTGACCAAGCAATTAAAACTATTAAAATACCGTACTGCGGGAGTAACTGATAAACTAGCCTAGATTTTTGGAGATTTGGCATGGTACATAAAATACAGAAACTAATTTCTGGTACTAAAGATGTATTACCGAAGCTATCAACAGAAGGTGTGTACCGGAATAACTGCTCTTGTGGCAAATACTATCTATATTGCTCAGACAGGACGAATGATCAGCATGAGACTAAAATACCACCACAAGAATATTAAATACTCCCAAATATAACTGTCGACAGTGGCGGAACACGCGTGCCAACAAGGTACTGCGATTTTCGTGCACACAAAAAACGGCTGGATGTACAAGCACAATGTGCATGCATAATGTGCAGCCATAAGAATAACCCAACCGGTAATAGGATAGCCATTGTCATTTATATACATACATAACCCCCCCACCCTCTCTGGCCTTCACACCTGATTGGCTCACAGGTGATGTTTCCGCTTATTAAACTTTTAGTTCAATTAACGAATGATTCTTCAAATGTATTTATGTTATTTTAATGCTGAGTGTCTGCTGCTGCTGTCATGTACAGCACTTTGAGATCCTAGATGAAAAGCGCTATATAAATGTAATTATTATAAGCATTTATCCTTCTATTGAAGAACAAAACAGGATGATTTCTCCACAAATCTGGCTGTCGCCTGATGATGTTAGTTGTAATTACTGGCGAAACGTCATACTCTAATTATTAATGTTGTGGGTTTACTCTCCAAGACACCAGTGTACTGTACTAGTAAATACATTACATGTTTTGTTTATGTGACAAACCTTACTAATTGGCTGTGTCGGGTGGTGGCGGGTATAACGACACATTTATACGTATGCGGTCTAACCCAAAAAAACCCTCTATTTTTGATACTAATTAAACTTGGAATCTGAATCTTTATTTATCCTGAAGAAATCCGATGAGCGATGAAGCTCTTTTTCACAGATGTCCCGTCGGGGCAAACCAGTACAAGTGAGACAGGAAATGAATTGTAACAATTGAATCTATGCAGACACCAGAGGCATCCTGAATGCTTTAATGAATGCAAGTTGATTGGATTCATGGTGACATTATTTCATTTCTGAGTATAAACATTACTTTAATAGCCAATTAACTTTTGATCAGATTCTTAATGAGGTCCAATCTAGCATTTTTATATAATTTGTATCAAATAATTTTTATTTACATAACCAGTAGCCAATAGACAGGAAATGAATTGTAATCATTTATATATTTACTGCAGAGATTTATCATATTTTTCTCCAATTATAAATTGCTTTCACTTAAAATACAGTATTGACGAAATAAAAACATTGTTCCACCAAACTCCTGGCACCTTAGGCAGTGCCCATTTATATCCTAGCCCATGGACTATGGGGCTGAACCAGGACTGATGAGTTCTGTTTGCCCCGACGATGAACGTTGAGATGTTTAGGGGCACGGGGTAACCAATAAGGTCTAAATTGGTCTGTAATATGGTAGGCACTGATACGGGGTCGACAGGAATGCGTGTTGTTTGAAACACACGGGTGGCAGACACTGTACTTCTTTTACAACTTAATAATTATTACACGCGCAACAGTAATCACTGACAGTGTGGGCACCCACGGTGGTGAGATGTTGACTACCTCGCCTGGTATACAGGTGGTAGTGGGTTCGATCATCGACCCTGACGCCTGCTGTAATATCTAGTAGGAGTTTGCAGTGTCTCTATCCCCCCGTAGTCGCGTGGATTTGTCTCCGAGTCCTCTGTGGGTTTCCCTCTCCACATTTAGAATCAACATCAAGCATTTAAGAGTATGTGGCTGCTATACATTTCCACATGGCGACGACGATTAGCCTCTTCGTTGAGATATCATTCGTGGCCAGGTCGCTTCTGGGAAATAAAAAGCAATATTGCTCAATATTACAATATTACCTGGTAAAAAACAAATAAGTAAACCCGTAAAAACAAAGTTTTTCACTCTAAATCCTTTATATGCGTGGCGGCTAGAGTCCTCTCGTCCTCTGGCTTGAGATGGCTGCCACCTATGGGTCAGACGATTGTCTGCAGTATTAAACAATTGGTAATTAAATATAATATTTTTGTCCTATAAAGTGTAAAATTTTGGAAAAATTTTTCACGAACATTAATTGTCACGCACAACGAGTCTGTGTGCAAAATGTCAACTCGATTGGATCATGGGAAGTGGGTTATAAAACGACCGAAAGATTTACACGGTCGTAAGCAAGCAAGCAAGCACGCAAGCAAGCACGCGAACTTAATATAAAGGATTTAAAAATACAGGAGTTTACTTTTAGTTTAAACAAACTGACGATACGATTATCGTGGATGTCGATGTCGCACGATATATCGCGATATATTCTCGCGGCGACCCCATGAACTATGTGACAACAACCAGTGGCGGTGACGTCACCACGACGCTTGTGCCAAGGCCCCTCCCCCCCCCACCACCGCCGCCGTGTCATCAACCCCTCCAACCAATCCGACAACATCGTCGCGATGACGTCGGCAGAGTGCGCCCGTGAGGATTTGGCGGGAAAGCGCAGAGCGCGGGAAAGTCGACGTTGGCGCGCGTTCAGCGGCGCGCCGCTTGCTGTAATGCGCTGAACAACGACAATAACGGCCTTTAACTTCGCGTTCCGTAAAGCACAGCCTTGCCCGAACACGGGAAAGACCGCGAAGCAACGGGCGGTATTTAAGCTGTTTGTTTCGTAAGTTTTTTCGTTTTGTTTACGAGTAAAATTGCATAAGAGACTAGCGTTGCATTCAACACCGCTCGGTAAATCAAGTGCGCGCCTGCTGTACAGAGATTACCATGGCGAAGTCTCTTTCGGGAGGACTCGGGAAACCCGAGCAGGGCATCATGGACCTGTTCCAGAAGGTGGAGAAGATAGGCGAGGGCACCTACGGGGTGGTCTACAAGGCGCGCCACAAGATGACGGGAGAGACGGTGGCGCTGAAGAAGATTCGCCTTGACACGTAAGACGGTCTGGTTCCAGCCCAACGATCGGTGATGTGATACAGTACCGCCACCGAGTAACAGCAGCTACTGCTTTATAACTCCAGTTACTGCATTAGACCCGAAGCAACCGTTCTAACCACGGCTACTGCAAAGTCTTAACAACTTTTAGTTTGTTGTCCTTTCCCCGTACCTACGATTATCACGGTTGGCTAGTACGGTGCGCAAGAAGTTCGACATACATACAGTAGTACATACATTATAACAGCTACCAAGTTAAACCCACAGTTACTATAATTACAAATACGCACTGCATTACAACACCTTGTTCATACACTACTGGACGCAGTCCTCCCAATTCCGTTCCGATTGTTTGCCGATACTTGACGCTGTTCATTGAGTTTTGGTGAAGGAGGTCGGCCCCAAGATTGGTTCAGATGTAACTCGCCATGCATGAGAATCGGACTTAGATTGACAGGTTCATCGCACAGTGCGATAATAACAACCTCGGCCAATACATACTTGAAAATGCATTCCAATATAACCACAGCAACTGCATAATAAGACAATATACAACAGCAGCTGCTGCATTATGTATTTCACTCGTGTTATATGGACGCGTCCGTGTTGAATAAATGGAGACTGGAATCTGCCCACTAGCGAGACGAGGACAAGGAACTCATGGAAGATACAAGCGCCTGTTTATGGGTTCATATTTCTGTCGCATTTTACAGGACTTATTTTTTTGGCCGCATGTTCCAATTTTGAATTGCAAAACGTTAACTTTAAACATTTCAAGTTTGTTTAATCAGGTGAGAACTCAAGAGACCAGCTAGGATTAATTAATTTGCAAAAGTGACGGCGCATCGTTGGTGATCCCCGTGCAGGGAGACGGAGGGAGTTCCCAGCACGGCCATCAGGGAGATCGCCCTGCTGAGAGAGCTCAACCACCCGAACATTGTCAGGTAACGCGCCTCTGTGACGACAGCCGTTAGCTGTCCAGGCCCAGTTTGTTCATAGATGGTGCTGTTGATGGCAATGTGAGTGTACTAAACCCATAGATTTGAAAAGTCAGTCAAGTACATCCTTATTGGCTACTTGTGTTCAACATAAACGTCGCCGCAATCTAGCCTCTTATGCGATACCCAGCTTTGCAGTTCTTTGGTCATTGATCGCTGTCATTTAATGCACAGCCCTCCACTTATCGTTTTTTCAGGTGGCCAATGTATACGCCATATGTGGTCTATGGCCAATTTATATGGTAAACATCGCCAAGCCGTATTAACCTGCTCTTCATGGGAATGTTTGGAGGCAACTGTCCATTGCCCCTCCACTTGGAGAGGAAGACAAACTGATGCTGTAAAAGAACAGGTTACTTAAAATTGACCATCAGGCTTCCTGAACAAATTCATTTGTAGAATCATAGTTATATCAATCCGGTTATATTGTGCACAAGGTAACTGATGCAGCTTTATGATGTGTATGCTGTGTCAGCAGCTCTCGTGTGTAGTTGGCTTTGGTCAGATTGTTGAGGTGGCACGGTCAAGATCCTGGATTGAAATTTTGACTCAGCCACCCAAATACATTTTTTGTTTTATGATAGGACGTGGATAGCAATAATTGAAATACATTGGAAATAGGACCAAATATGTATATTGTTTTGAACAACCTTATACAATGACGATTCAGCAGTGTAAGTGTAATTTTGTATTAGCACATCACACAAACAACAAGTGTGTAATGTTTAAAGGCTTTTCTGTTCTATTATGCATGTACAATTGTGGCATTAGTGGCTTTGCTGTGTTATTAAACAAGGATGGGCCCACCCAGCTTTCGAGTTGACATGTTAGCTGCCCTCAATCTCTTGTAGTCTATAAAAACTATCACCATGGAGAGCTGAATTCACAGTGGCATTAAATGTCACGGGTGCACAAATATGGGCAAACAGCAATGCATCACTTCAGCCTACAAAGCTTTAGCAATACAGCAAATACACAAATATGCCCCTGTGGTGCCTCACCAATTGCTTGACAACAAACGTATGTATATGTTATGCATTGTTTCAAATACTCTACAACATCTGTGATTGATAAATTAGGTCAGGTTATTTATTACCTGGTAATTTGAGATTACTACAGTATGAAATTGTACAAAATCTTGCTTGTTATGCATATAGCGATGGCCAACCTCAGCCATTCGATGAATTGTCACAATTTAAGAATTCATCTTTTACATTGTCGTGAGTGTGGTGGCCACGAGTGGTTGTGGGGGGTCATACACACGAATCCAATACACACAACTTTAGAATTGATATCAATCAATGCATCGCTATACCCTGCTGTGGGGGCCGAATTGTATCTATCCATTTGCAGGCTCCTGGATGTTATTCACAGTGAGACCAAGCTGTACTTGGTGTTTGAGTTCCTTGACCAGGACCTCAAGAAGTATATGGACAATGCACCCCCATTAGGGATTTCCCTGCCACTGGTCAAGGTAAAGTTTCTCCTATTGTGGCACTAAATTGTTAGGTTCCATACACTTTCACCATGGCTTCAGTATCCACATTATCTACTTAGACCACCCTAGGCTTCCTCTTATGCACAGCACTCTCCTTCCCTCGTTTGCTCTCTCTCTTCTAAATGTACACATCACGACACCAAGCAACTGACTTTACTCTGATGTACTGGACACATCTCTCTTTTGGTTTTAGTATAAACATAATTTAAAGAGACCAGCTGAACTTTCCCATGGAGGTGTTTCCAGTATCCAAATCCCTGGTGTCATGAGGGTAGTTGGTGGTTGTAGTAGACGTTTGTTAAGTTATCCATGCCTACCAGTAATGATGACATTCGCTTAAATTTGCTAAATAATCCTTTAAAAATGTATTTGTAAATGAAGGGACATGTTGGATTAATGCAAATGAAGGGAAATGTTGGAATAATGCCCCTTGAGGAGTACTCATTTATTTGTAAATACTTGTAGCAAGTAAATAATAACTCCTATTCACGTTGATATGGGGACACTTGGCAGATCCTATTATCTGAGTAAATGTTTTTTAAATCTATGTAGACACCAGAGGCATCCTGTATGCTTTAATGAATGCAAGTTGATTGCATTCATGTCGACATTATTTCATTTCTGAGCATAAACATTACTTTAATAGTCAATTAACTTTTGATCAGATTCTTAATGAGGTCCACTCTAGCATTTGATCAATTATTTTTTTCTTTACATAACCAGTAGCCAATATATTTGTGTCTGGGCCCAATAAAAACATGCACGTCGATTATCATAACAATAGTTACTTAAAATGTTTCTGATTAACTGGGTATCCAGTTTGATGCAGATATGGGGTAATGTATGCTTATCTTCAAGTCGTGAGTTGAATTTTGAGGCAATGCTGATGCTAAATAACATCTAAAACACGCATTTGAGTATTCACAGTCCCAGGAACACAGTTAATTCTCTATAGTTGTTAAATGCTTGAAATTAAGGCATTGCACAAAATGCATGTAATAATTTCTCAATAATGTTACGCTTGGGACCTGTTTTGTTGCGTACGTGCTGCCATTGTTGGTAGAGCTACATGCACCAGCTGCTGCAGGGCATCGCCTTCTGCCATGCGCAGCGCACCCTGCACCGTGACCTCAAGCCGCAGAACCTGCTCATCAACGCCGACGGTGCCATCAAGCTGGCAGACTTTGGGCTGGCGCGCGCCTTCGGAGTGCCGCTCCGCACGTACACACACGAGGCAAGGTGGAGAGGCTGTGCTCTTCAGTGTACAGCTTTAGACCCAAATACGTTCCAAAATCTGATCTTCACTGAGTCACGATAAAACAGATCCAACTGCATTGCAAAAATGTTACCTAAGCTCTGAAATAGTGAATAATCTATTTTTATATAGTGTTGCTGATGAAGTTTAAATGTGTAGTGGGTAATAGACTGGAGGAAGCTTGCTTTGAGGCAACACGTGTATTACAACTTGACAAACTACAATACAAAGGGGTAACGGCCCCTTTCACCCGATGTCATACATAGCCGGCTAGCTTGCCTCTTTCGGGCAATCACTATGCCTACACTGCTGGGGGTTTGAGTCTTCTCTGGAGTCTTCACTGGTTATAAGCTCGGAGCTTCACTGGTACAGCTCAAGCCTCACCCTACCCAGGGGTTCGGCTTTGCCCACAGGGCTCTTCTCTTTTCAAGGCTCCAGGTTGATCTTCAGTCTTCAGCCGGATGATACTGAGCTGAGCTGTTTATGGACCTTGCTTATATACAGGGTCCCGGCTCACTCCGGCCCTGGCCACGCCTCCCTTCCAGAACCTTCTCCAAGGCCCTGGAGAATGACCTCATCCCCCAGGCCCCCGTTGGTCCCGATGCTCCCCCCAGGGATTGCCTCGGCCCAAAAGTGCCCATCATTACTGTTGAGCTAGTCCGGTCTACCTTATACTCTCTACTGGCTTGAGCGAGTACTGCCGGCTATGAGTAGTGGCGATCGTGGCCAACCATGCCACTACATTACCCCCTCCCCCCACCTCCGTAGCACCCAGCCGTCCTGGTTGGCAACAATTCCCCAAAACCGTGAAAAACAGAACAATTACGCGTGCCTCAAGAAAAACACAACAAGAACAACCCGACATAAATACCCCAGCCCACCTGTACAAAAATTATACTATTTACAAATGTACAATTAGACAAGAACGCGTAAAGAGGGTATCCGCACGAATCTGTCACGGCGCTGCACCCACGACCCACGCAATTAAAACAACATGACGACCGAATGCAAGTCACAGGCAAGGAGGGCCACCAACCGTGGCAGCCCCGGCCGAGACGAAGGTAGGTGCGCGTCGTGGTGTGTGAGGGTGTGGGGAAGGGTCATAAAAATCTTGGGGCCCTTGAACGGGTCCGTGTCGCAGGGCCGTCGTATAGTAATGGGGGTTTCACAGGGGGGACAAGAGGCCGGCACCCCTTGGGCGACATCCGGGTCGGCGGCGGAGCCCATGTCGAGGAAGCGGCCGGTGACGACGGCCGTGGGGGGCTCATTCCCTCGGCATCTGAGGGTGCAACAATATGGCTGCGCTGAGGGTTATGTTCTGCAGACATCGACCCGGCTCGTCGGACACACCACGCGCTCTGCCCCAGTAATGTTAAACGGACAATCGCAGCGCGACAAAGGGTTTCAGGTGCGACGGATGTACATACCAACATCTGCGGCTCCATTGAACTTTGACACACTGGGAACGCAACACCTGTACAATATCCTGTGCGGCCTCCCTGGCCTCGAACAACTTTTGGAGGTTAAATCGCATATGGTCAGACAATTTAGTTTTTCGTGAAGCCGGTTTTACACTCAACTGCACCTCCACAGGTGGGTCAACCTCTCTGCCGTACATGAGGTAAAAAGGTGAGTAGCCCATGGCCGAATGAGGTGCCATTCTGTAAGCGGCCAAGACACCAGGAATGTGCAGATCCCAGTCAAGCTGCGATTGGCTCACCTGGTGACAAAGCATGGAGGTGAGCGTTCGGTTCAATCGCTCAACCATACCATCAGTCTGCGGGTGGTATGGGGAAGTACGAATTTTCTGCGTGCCCAGCATGTCGAAAATGTCCCGCAGCAAGGTGGACGAGAAATTTCTTCCCTGGTCGGTCAGCAACCGTTCGGGAGCACCCTTGTCCAGGACATAGCCCTGGACAAAGGCCTCTGATGGCTGCTGCTGCTTTGGGAGCAGCCATGCCATTGGCCAACGTGAAATATTCTACCCAAACGAACAGGTACTTATTATTTCGATTTAAAGCTTTCGTGACTGCAGGGATTCATCTTCTTGTTTCTTTCGGTAAAGTCACGTAGAAGGGAAGTAATAAAATAATAAAAATAAAACATAATAAAACAATTCTCACGACGTTTCGGCTACAACGCAAGCAGCCGTCTTCAGGTGAAGAATGAGACACTACCAAACTAGGAGCTTATATATAAGCTGCATTGGGGGTTGAAGAGCGCCTTAACAAAAAGAATGTGCATGTGAAGAGGGATTTAGCATATTCATGGAAAATGCGTAGGCGTTGGGCGGGGGGGTGTCAAAGTCATATTATGCCCATGCATTATGCAGGATCAGCAGCAACCAAGGGGGGTGCAGGGATTAGCAGTAACAAAGGAAAGGAATGTTAATGATATGTAGCTGCAGTTACTCAACAACACGTAGAAAACTAAAGTATAAACTACATAAAAAACTAAAGTATAAACTGCATCGCACCATCAGTATACTTACTATACTCTATAATAAGCTGAGTTACTAACAGCAAGTAATACATTACAATTTTACCTCGTAAAAATTCTATAATATGCTTCCATCTAAACCTTATTCTCTTACATCACACGAGCATATACCGTACTATATACTGCCATAGATAAACCCAACATTAAATTATATACTGTATTGCTGTAAACCAACCTATATCTTATACATTTAATATCACACTATGTATTATTCTACACACCCTAATGTGTATCGAAATGGTTTATTACGTCCTTCCAATGATTGCTGAGCCAGAATCCATCTTCTCGGTTAAAGTTGTCTCTGTGTTTGTATATGTGGATCGCCTCATGAACGAATCTCTCATGATAGCCAGATGGCTTGCAGAGAACCTCTGTCTTGGAGAAGTCAATATCATGTGAGCCCACTGAGTTGTAACAGTGATCTGCCACGGCTGAGGTGTTAGTCCTACCGTGTTTCAGGTCAGCTTTATGTTCACGGATGCGGTCCGAGACATGTCGTTTGGTTTCCCCAATGTAACTGCTACCACAGAGGCAACTTAGTTTGTAGACGCCAGGGTACTGTATGTCTGGAACCACATCTTTTACAGACGGTACCAGATCACGGATTTTATGTACTGTGTTGAATCGGACCTGGATCTTGTGTTTAATCAGGATTTTGGAGATCTTTTTTGTGACCCCAGCAATGTAGGGTAAGGTGATGGTCTTGAAAGGCTCCTCAACAGGATCCTTCTTGATGGTTGGAGTGATGGCTTTGCGGATTGTATAGTCGGAGTAACCATTTGCCTTAAGAGCTTGGCGTACGTGTTTGAGTTCACTGGAAATGTGTTCATGGTCGGAGATGCATTGGGCTCTATGATATAGAGTCTTGATGAGGGAATTCTTCTGAGATGGATGGTGGTGGGAATCCGGTTTTAGATAAGCATCCGTGTGGGTGGCTTTCCTGTAGACAGAGTGGCTCATTGAACCATCAGGTCTCCTTTTGATTAGGACATCCAAAAAGGGTAGCATGCCATCATTTTCGACTTCCATGGTGAATCTGATGGCTGGGTGTATGGAATTGATGTGGTCGAGAAATTGGTCTAGAGCAGGCCGGCCATGTGGCCAGATGACAAAAGTGTCGTCTACGTACCTCTTCCATAAGGTCGGGCGTAGAGTGGCAGTCTGGATGGCGTCCGTCTCAAATTTCTCCATGAAGATGTTGGCTACAACCGGAGATAGGGGGGAGCCCATTGGGGTGCCCTCAATTTGCTTGTAGAAGGTTCCATTCCAGGTGAAGTATGTATTGGTTAAGCAGTGTCTCACCAGGGGGGGTACCCCAGCATTCAGTCCTTGATGAACCAAGTCTTCAATGATTGCGATGGTGTCAGGCACAGGTACCTTGGTGAACAAGGAAACCACATCAAAACTGACAAGCAGGTCGTCTGGGGACAGGGCAATCCCCTTGATTGTCGATACCAGGTCAGTAGAGTTTAGTACTGCAGAGGTGGTTTTTCCAGTGAAAGGCCGTAGGATTTCGGACAAAAAACGAGCCAGTTTGTAAGTGGGGGAGTTGATAGTAGAGACAATGGGACGAAGAGGTGTATCTTCTTTATGTATCTTTGGCAAGCCGTACAATCTTGGTGGTCTGGCTGCAGAAGGTTTCAACGAGAACTGTTTGGTCTGATCAATTAATGCGGTTGAAGCAGAAATGATGTTGTTGGTTTTGGAGACGAGGCTGTTGGTGGGGTCTCTTTTTATTTTTGTATAGCTGCCATCGTTTAGTAGTTCTTGAATTTTGTTGTTGTATTCTATTTTGTCCATGATGACAGTGGCATTGCCTTTGTCGGCTGAGAGGATGACAATGTCATCCCTCTTTTTTAATTGAGCTAATTCAAAACGCTCCTCTTTGCTGATGTTGCTAGCTGGCATCTTAGCGTTTTTGAGGGTTACAGAGATTTCGGATCTTGCTACGTCTGCAGCGATGTGACTCAAGCCCTTGAGAGCTACATCTACTCGAGCAATTATATCATTAACTGGTATGTGTCTAGGTGTGACTGCAAAGTTTAGTCCTTTAGCTAAAACGGATTTCAAACCTTCAGAAATAGGACTGTTACTGCGATTAATTACGACTTTGTTAATATCTAGCTTTTCAATGTGTGGGTCCGGTTTCTTGTTTGAGAGGCGATTGAATTTGGAAATCAAGTTGTCCTTACATTTAGTCGACATAGCGGCAGCTGAAGAGGCAGTCTCACCTTTCTGAAGAGATGCCGCGACTCTAAGGTAATACCAAACGCATTTACACTAACATCTGCTGCTGTAACTTCTTCTAATGCGGAACGAATTCTGTCTAGAACTAGCTTAGCTCTTATCTCAGAGAAAATCAGACTTACGCGCACCGAACTAGATCAGTTAGACAAGACACTCTACAAATCACACTTATCTTTGAGTGTAACAATGTCCACATCGGATTGGGAACATGTGGAAAAAATGACTGCCTCTTCAGCTGCCGCTATGTCGACTAAATGTAAGGACAACTTGATTTCCAAATTCAATCGCCTCTCAAACAAGAAACCGGACCCACACATTGAAAAGCTAGATATTAACAAAGTCGTAATTAATCGCAGTAACAGTCCTATTTCTGAAGGTTTGAAATCCGTTTTAGCTAAAGGACTAAACTTTGCAGTCACACCTAGACACATACCAGTTAATGATATAATTGCTCGAGTAGATGTAGCTCTCAAGGGCTTGAGTCACATCGCTGCAGACGTAGCAAGATCCGAAATCTCTGTAACCCTCAAAAACGCTAAGATGCCAGCTAGCAACATCAGCAAAGAGGAGCGTTTTGAATTAGCTCAATTAAAAAAGAGGGATGACATTGTCATCCTCTCAGCCGACAAAGGCAATGCCACTGTCATCATGGACAAAATAGAATACAACAACAAAATTCAAGAACTACTAAACGATGGCAGCTATACAAAAATAAAAAGAGACCCCACCAACAGCCTCGTCTCCAAAACCAACAACATCATTTCTGCTTCAACCGCATTAATTGATCAGACCAAACAGTTCTCGTTGAAACCTTCTGCAGCCAGACCACCAAGATTGTACGGCTTGCCAAAGATACATAAAGAAGATACACCTCTTCGTCCCATTGTCTCTACTATCAACTCCCCCACTTACAAACTGGCTCGTTTTTTGTCCGAAATCCTACGGCCTTTCACTGGAAAAACCACCTCTGCAGTACTAAACTCTACTGACCTGGTATCGACAATCAAGGGGATTGCCCTGTCCCCAGACGACCTGCTTGTCAGTTTTGATGTGGTTTCCTTGTTCACCAAGGTACCTGTGCCTGACACCATCGCAATCATTGAAGACTTGGTTCATCAAGGACTGAATGCTGGGGTACCCCCCCTGGTGAGACACTGCTTAACCAATACATACTTCACCTGGAATGGAACCTTCTACAAGCAAATTGAGGGCACCCCAATGGGCTCCCCCCTATCTCCGGTTGTAGCCAACATCTTCATGGAGAAATTTGAGACGGACGCCATCCAGACTGCCACTCTACGCCCGACCTTATGGAAGAGGTACGTAGACGACACTTTTGTCATCTGGCCACATGGCCGGCCTGCTCTAGACCAATTTCTCGACCACATCAATTCCATACACCCAGCCATCAGATTCACCATGGAAGTCGAAAATGATGGCATGCTACCCTTTTTGGATGTCCTAATCAAAAGGAGACCTGATGGTTCAATGAGCCACTCTGTCTACAGGAAAGCCACCCACACGGATGCTTATCTAAAACCGGATTCCCACCACCATCCATCTCAGAAGAATTCCCTCATCAAGACTCTATATCATAGAGCCCAATGCATCTCCGACCATGAACACATTTCCAGTGAACTCAAACACGTACGCCAAGCTCTTAAGGCAAATGGTTACTCCGACTATACAATCCGCAAAGCCATCACTCCAACCATCAAGAAGGATCCTGTTGAGGAGCCTTTCAAGACCATCACCTTACCCTACATTGCTGGGGTCACAAAAAAGATCTCCAAAATCCTGATTAAACACAAGATCCAGGTCCGATTCAACACAGTACATAAAATCCGTGATCTGGTACCGTCTGTAAAAGATGTGGTTCCAGACATACAGTACCCTGGCGTCTACAAACTAAGTTGCCTCTGTGGTAGCAGTTACATTGGGGAAACCAAACGACATGTCTCGGACCGCATCCGTGAACATAAAGCTGACCTGAAACACGGTAGGACTAACACCTCAGCCGTGGCAGATCACTGTTACAACTCAGTGGGCTCACATGATATTGACTTCTCCAAGACAGAGGTTCTCTGCAAGCCATCTGGCTATCATGAGAGATTCGTTCATGAGGCGATCCACATATACAAACACAGAGACAACTTTAACCGAGAAGATGGATTCTGGCTCAGCAATCATTGGAAGGACGTAATAAACCATTTCGATACACATTAGGGTGTGTAGAATAATACATAGTGTGATATTAAATGTATAAGATATAGGTTGGTTTACAGCAATACAGTATATAATTTAATGTTGGGTTTATCTATGGCAGTATATAGTACGGTATATGCTCGTGTGATGTAAGAGAATAAGGTTTAGATGGAAGCATATTATAGAATTTTTTACGAGGTAAAATTGTAATGTATTACTTGCTGTTAGTAACTCAGCTTATTATAGAGTATAGTAAGTATACTGATGGTGCGATGCAGTTTATACTTTAGTTTTTTATGTAGTTTATACTTTAGTTTTCTACGTGTTGTTGAGTAACTGCAGCTACATATCATTAACATTCCTTTCCTTTGTTACTGCTAATCCCTGCACCCCCCTTGGTTGCTGCTGATCCTGCATAATGCATGGGCATAATATGACTTTGACACCCCCCCGCCCAACGCCTACGCATTTTCCATGAATATGCTAAATCCCTCTTCACATGCACATTCTTTTTGTTAAGGCGCTCTTCAACCCCCAATGCAGCTTATATATAAGCTCCTAGTTTGGTAGTGTCTCATTCTTCACCTGAAGACGGCTGCTTGCGTTGTAGCCGAAACGTCGTGAGAATTGTTTTATTATGTTTTATTTTTATTATTTTATTACTTCCCTTCTACGTGACTTTACCGAAAGAAACAAGAAGAGGTACTTATTACCTCGGGGAGTGGCTGGAAAGGGACCGAGGACATCCAAGGCAACGAGCTCGTTGACACGAGTCACCTGGATGGACTGCAGAGCAGGACAAGTTGGTCGGGCAGGCGGCTTCCGTCGTGTGCAATGAGTGCAGCCCTGCAGCAAATCTGCCACGTCTTTGGCCATGCCGGGCCAAAAAAATGAAATGGGAGTGTGTCCAAGGTCTTGTGCATCCCTAAATGCAAGAGACATTCGTGCACGGCCCAAATGGCTTAACCCCGCAGCACGGTGGGCACAACGATTGTGTATCGTCGCAGGCTGTCATCCCATGCCATTAGGAGGCCGTCGCGCGAAACAAAAGACGCAAGACCATTGCAGTCACCCCCTTTCGCAGGCTTACTAGCCCAACGGCGAAACTTAAGGAGCGAAGCATCCTCCATCTGGAGGCGACCCCAATCGTCCCGGGTCAGGCCGAGTAACAAATCCTGGGTGAGTGTACCCTCAGGGCCCAACCTAGGACCTATCTCGGCTGTAGCAGCGAGGTGCTGGGGCAAATTGTCAACCGGCTGCTTATAGCGACCCGATCCCAGGAAGCATGCACACTTGTTTGTCGTTGGCAGGCAAGATAAAGCATCGGCATTACAGTCCTGGTTGCCCTTGCGATATTTGACTCTGAATGCGTAATCTTGCAAGATTTCCAGCCAGCGTGAGAGTTGACCTAGATGGCTGGTCAACTCGCAGCACGTATTGAAGGGCGGCGTGATCGGAACGAACAGCGAAGTGCCTCCCGTACAAGTAAGGTCGGTATTGTTGAATGAAAAATACGATTGCTAGCATTTTGCGACATGTCACAATACCGTTGTTCAGCTGGAGACAATACCCGGTTCCCATATGCAATCACTCGCTCGACCCCATCAACGATTTGCGACAAACGCCCCCGATGCCAGTGTTACTCGCATCCGTGTCAAGAATGAAGTGCAACGTGAAATTTGGGTAGCTCAGTGAAGGGGCATTCACCAACCCATCGCGCAGTGAATTAAATACATCCTCGCCCCAGTGGAACCTGACGCACTTGACCGTCGGCGCATGGAGGGGCTTGGCGATGGAAGCAAACCCGCCACAAATCGTCGGTAATAGGACGCAAAACCGATAAAGCTCCTCACCTCCCCCACCGATGTCGGGGTTGGCCATGAGCGGACAATAATTTTTTTCGGGGTCTGTGGCAATACCCGACCGGCTGACGATGTGGCCAAGGTAGCGCACCGATTCACGCAAGAGGTGGCATTTTTGTAGCTTAAATTGTAAGTTGGCCGCACGCAATTTATTTTAACAAAAACTGCCCTCAACCATTGCAGGTGTTCATCAAAAGTACAGCTGAAGACAATGACGTCTAATGGGTAATCTGTTAAACTCGAACAGACCCTGCGGCGTGCGAAGACTGTTTTTGGTTTAGAATCCGCGCCAAGTGGCAGCTGCCAGAAGCCAGACAAGAGGTCCGGGGTTGAAAAGTAACGTGCCCCTACCAAGGCATCAAGGGATTCGTCCATACGGGGGAGGGGGTCCGCGTCGGCTATTGAAATTGAGTTTAGCCTGCGAAAGTTGATACAAAATCGAAAACTACCATCGTGCTTCTTCACGAGCACGATGAGGGCTCCCCACGGGCTGGTGGATGGAGGGATGATGTCGGCAGCTAACGTTATTGACAGCCAACCTGACATGTTCTTTCTCAGCAGGGCTTAAACGGAACAGATTCTGGCGGATGGGCGCAGCATCACCCGTATCAATATGTTTCAACAATTTAGTGCATCCAATGTCAAATTTAAACATCATAAAATTCCAGTAGCAGAGCGCATAATTTATCCCTCTGGGAATTTGACAAATTGACAGCCGATGGACAGAGCGAATCCAACCATTGTTCATCGAGGCTGGAGCGTGGTTGTGACCAAGGCATGGTTCCGACATGGCCTACCGTCGAATCGGCCTGGAGCGACGGCTTTGCATGAGCGGGCACGGTGCCCTGCGGTATAACGGTCGTGTGTAGCCCAGCATTCAAAACTTGGATAAACGGGTCTCGATCCCCTGATAACAGCGTCTGCGCACCAACCAATTCCAAACCTCGAACCGCAGTATTCCAAGGCCCTATGAGAACACCGCCCACCGTCGAACCCGGATCAAGAGGTTTCCGAAGGCGGAGAGGAACTAACATCTGCGCACCGTTCGGGACGCCAGCGCCTGAACGATGGTGCATGCCGTGCGCAACCTCGTGGGGGATGGTAGGAATGCCATACGCCGACCCGAGGGCAATTCGATGCATCCCTGGTCAATCAGGATTTTGATGGGCATCTTGCCCAGAAAATCCGTATCCAACAGGCACAGAACAGAGAGGGATGAAGAGACCAAGATCGGTCCAGCCAATTTCACATCACCAATACAAATTTGGGCTCTAATTTGGCCAATCAGTCCCAGCGACCCCCCGTTAGCGACTCTGTGTTGTCTTGCATTATATTTCCAAGTTTACTATGTTTATTTCTCATTCATTTGTATCTGATGGTTGCTTGTGTTGCAATCGGTATTCTATTTAATTAAATTTCCTTCTACGTGACTTTACCAAAAGAACCAAAGTAATTCCTGCAGTCACGAAAGCTTCGAATCAAGTTTTTGTTTAGACAAAATTTGAGTGCCTGGATAAACCTTTATGCACGATGGATAAAACACAAGTATTCATATACGTAGGTCAGCTTGCTGTACTGCCCTATACTGGCACACGATTCATAGTAACGAAGACCAATGTAGTGGTTACCAAGAAAGTGACGAGTTTTTTTGCAGGACAGCCGTTTACACAGTTAACTAATTTATTTACCCCGGAGGGTATGATGGGCAGAGTCGACCTTCATTTTAATATGCAAATGTGTGCACTCGTAATGATTGCACCACCCGGCCTGACACACAGGCCGGGTGGTGCGTAAAGGCGCACCAAAAATAGCGGCATGGAGCATGGGCCTCTCATACCACTGCTTCTGCTGCCTGCAGGTGGTGACACTGTGGTACCGCGCGCCAGAGATCTTGCTGGGATGCAAGTACTACTCGACCGCTGTCGACGTCTGGAGCCTCGGCTGCATCTTTGCTGAGATGGTACTGGACTCAACACTGGACAGAAAGTCACGCTCTCATCCCCGCATCGTGGGAGTGAACCCAGTAGCCCTGGTTCGATTCCGAGCTTCGGCTAACATCAGTGGCGAGTAATAATTAAACCAGCGGTCCTGCATGGCCCATGCTGCTCGCTCCACCCACTAATATTGAAGGGTAGATACCCTCCAAATAAATTCCAGGCCACCTGCAAGCACTGGTTCTTCATGTGTAGTATTTCATTTGTGTTATTACTTTTTTTTAAATTATAAAGTATTCATCACATTAAAAAGGTTGTTTAAGAGTAGAACATAATGGGGCTGAAACGTAATTGAACTTTTAACATGCATGGGAGTCAATGGGAAAACGATCGTTTAACGAGTTTTCGTTTAGCATTTTTAAGCTAGACACGCCTGTACATGGACAAATAAACCCCACATTGCAGTACGTAACTAAGCTGTGGTATTATTTTAAATGGTCACTTTCAAGTAATTTGGAGAATATTAGTCTAATGGAGAAGATGCAGATTCATATGTTCAGATGGTCTAACGAGAAAATGCATGCTCAATTGGTTGCACTTATTGCGTAATGTCGTTTTATTAAATATATTCTAATTGTATTATCAGTGTCATGTCATGAAACAAAGTACTGTATTAATTCAGAACTTTTGTGTAGCGCATCGTTTAAAAATCATTTTTAAAAGTTGGCCTGTGAAAACAGATATAACCACTTCTCAGATCCTGTCAAGTGATCTCTTGTCCTGGTGGCACTGGTCTTTCCCACATTCTCATACAGAGTTGCATTGCAGTCAAACCTATATATCCTCACAGCTGGAACTTAGCAAAATGAAGTGAAAAACGAATGTAATGGGGTTTTTTGCGTAGCCAGTGGGGGGGGGGGGGGGCACGTGATCCGATCGGAATCCCTAATTTCTATCGGAATTTTGCAACCTCCACTGCCACTGTGTAGCATATTATTACGTGCCAGGGACTCTGAGATGATAGGACAATAGTCCGAGTCCATAATTGGCAATACGTAATGGCAAAGCAGTTATAAGTGACTCAGAATTGTACGCAGTTGCGTGTACAGTACACGACTTCCCTGAAGGCATACCTTAAGCGAGCGTGATGCCGATTACACACGGTTCCAATTCGACCCTCGCCATCGCTGCACACGCGTCGAATAAAAACAAGGGACAAGTCCTTACTATAATTTTTCATTGCTGGAGGGGTTGCCCCCCCCCACCTGAAATTCCTGGCTCCGCCATTGGACCATTGATTATACTTTAACAACCTAATTACGGGTGGATACCCAGATTCGAAGGCTGGAATCTCAGTGGAGCCAGCTCACAAAAGCGCACTTCCTCGATTGCACTTATGGTGGAAATGAAATGGCACTGCTTATTTGGAAAATTTTTAAGTGCATTGTCGATGCTGTAACATTGTTTGCGTATTTGTTCCTTCTCCCTTCGACAAACTCAGCTGACGCGGCGGGCTCTGTTTCCTGGTGACTCGGAGATCGATCAGCTGTTCCGCATCTTCCGCACACTGGGCACACCGGATGAGACCGTGTGGCGGGGCATCACGCAGCTGCCTGACTACAAACCCTCCTTTCCACGTTGGTGTGCCCAGGACCTCACCAAGGTGGTGCCTCTCCTGGACGCCGCTGGGCACGATCTACTCATGGTAAGGAAAATAATATCAATGTGTTTAAACTGTTAAAACTGGCTGAAATTCTGTCTGAAAATGCAATCTAAAAAAAATATATCACATTATGTTTTGGACATTTATATTGTTGCAATGTACCTTGTCTGTTTTTGTGACAGCAAATGCTGCAATACGACCCAACCAGGAGAGTTTCGGCCAAGGCTGCCCTCAACCATCACTTCTTTCACAATTTGGAACATCATGTGCCAACTTTAAAGGCAAAACCGTAGGGCAGCAAGCAGGGGATGCAAACATTTATGCCGGTGTCTTTTCTTAGCTGGCTTGCTGTAGTCATAGACTGTATTATATAAGTAATGTTTGTGTTAATAACTTTTGAGGCACACTTATTGGAGATGTTTTATATGTGTAGCAACCATTTGAAAGAAACTGCAGGATATTTTATTCAAGTTACTTTCGGTATGTTATTCTTTACCTTTTAAAAATTGTACTTATTCTTAAATATTTTTTTGGAACAATATTTAGTATTTAATAAAGAAAATGGCCAGTGGACCTTTCTGCAATTCAATTTATATAACTTAATAAGCAAGTAAATAGTCCGAGGTTCTCATCCTCTACAGAAAGAACTAAAATGTGTTTTTTTCCTTAGTGAAAAACTTTCTCCAGTGATTTGGTAGGGCTTGTTCACAAAGCCCTTGAGGAAAAAGCAGTAGGCATTTTGAATAAAAAGCATTTCAATATTTGGTGTAAAACAGATTCTGTAGTATAAATTGGTTATTATTTTAAAATAGAGATGTTCTTAAATGTTGCTTAGGTGTTCTAATACTTGTTTTTTTGTCCAAAATAAAAATGAAGCTGAAATTTACACTTTGAAATGTGTCCTTTCCAGGGTTTCCAGTACTCTTATCCACTGCTCTAAAGGGATCACGAAATATAACAAAAATTCAAGTGTAAAAAATGTATACTTTCTCCCATGCCCGAGGATGATTTAATCCAGGAAGTATGTCCTATGGGCCTCTGGCATTACATTTCTATAAGTAAATAAAGTAAAATAGATGGTGTATGTTTTGCACCACAGGTAATCCTCTTGAATGGGAGAATATGGCGATAGCAAAATTAACATTTGTGTACTCAGGAAAGCCTCAGTATCAGTTTTCAGGATGGACCTGACAAGTTTGTGCAGTCGGCAAGGATTGCTCTATCTTTGAGAAACTTGGGGGTACATTTTCAAGTCTAGACAATGATGTAGCACAATGGCTTTCCTCTTGCAAATTACATCATAGAATCCCTAATGTTCAGTGAGGCAGATGTGCATTTTCATGGTTAATACGAGCATTATTAATTGGGGAGGCTGCTGGATTCGGACTGAACCATCTGCAATAATCAATGAACACTACCGCGAGGCCATATCACCGACAGCACAAGCAACATTTACTTTCCAAAATGTTTTAATGGTTCTGATATATATAAAACTTAAGATCCTTATACCAAACTTTCCTCTACTGAATTCTGTTGCCATCTATTAGAATCTGAATTTAAACAGATTTGAAACAAGTGCTTATTAGAAAATAAGACTCAGCTTCAACAATTCGGCATATATTAACGATTTAAAAGTTAGGAATTCAATAATAAACTTAAGTGTACAACAATTCCAACAACTGTTGAACACAAACATGACAATGTACAGCCCACACGCTCCCAGTCAATCCACAGGTTTCCCTCAAATTTACAAAAAGGGATGCATTCTTCAAAGAACACACCAAAACGAAATTTAATTTAAAAAAGGAGGTACGTTTCAGTCATTTTAACTACTAACCTAAAAACACAACTTTTTACAAAACAAAAATAATAAATAGATTGAGTAATAATTAATTGGAAACCAAAATGAACCTTTTCAGTGACTCGCCATAAGATCTGCATGTTGGAATGACTGGAAACATGGTGTGGAGGCATTACTGTTGCACTGTAGGGATACCGTGACACTGTCGCTGATGGATTACAGCCTCTCGGATGGTTCCTGTTTGATCTCATGGTGCGTTAAAAATATGAAATTTTGGTAACACGGAAATTTTATTGCTAAATTATGTAAATTATAAAGTGTCCCTAATTTGTCAATTGTTTCAACATGAAATGTGAAACAACGTTCGTAAAGCGAGAGATACCTGTATAACATTTCTGGAAAAGGCCAATCTGCTTTACATTGGCCACTTCCTGAATGTTCAGTCTCATTTTGCTAAAAGGCGGTGATGATGAGTTAACGGTTGTTTATGTACTTGTACCAAGTTGGATGGCTGTCAAAGTGCCTGGCTCACAATGACAAGGCTGAGTTAAAATATCCGGTTGAGGGATAGGCTTAGCCTATTTTCCTTCCTAGGTATCAAATGAAATCGCTAAAAAAATATTTGGAGATGGCTGTAGAATGCCCATCACTGGCTTGGACTGACAATGGAGATGAGTTGTACCACAAGATTCATTGAGTTATGGGGACATACTCCTAGCTTCTGGTACAATGACTAAAGCTACAATTTTTATAATTAGTAAAATTCACAGCAGAGTGGGGAAAAATATCCATGCCAATGCAATTACTCACTCACGGAGTCTTGACTTCAATTTAAATGGAAATCCTGAGAAGCCCCAGGGTGGGTGGCTTGAGCGGGATCTTGGTGAACATGAACTTCTTTGCCTGGAACTGCTGCAGATCTCTCTGTGTCAGCTCCTCATTGGGTGTGTGCAGCTCCCCCACTTTGAAGACCACAGAACTGGTAGGGGTTGTTGCCAATGACAATCCTGCTCCTTTGTCTCCAGCAGCTGGCAGTGAAAAGCTAAAATTTGCAGCCTGGATTGCTGGTTGGCTGGCCACCATGGGTGAGGGCTGTGTGTTGGAGGGCAATGAAAAGTTAAAGCTGCTTGCGGATGTGGAGGATCGGGCAACTTCAAAACCTTGACTTGATCCTGCGATTGCTGGCATCCCAAACGCAGGTGCTGCACCAGTGGCAAACCCGCTGTCTGTGCCGCTTTCTCCAAAACCTACACACGGTCAACAACATGATTAGTAGTATATTTTTTTACATTTAATCCTGGTTTGGTTGGATTATTTTGGGGGCGAGTCACCCAAATGCTGGTGGGCATGCAGATATTTTAAGCAGTTTCAGTCCAAAGACATTACTGAAATCGAATGTGAAGATCACTTTAAAATAATTTTAACCTTTTTTAACCAGCTATCTGAGCCACTTGGCAATGCATTCCATCCCAATGTTATGGAGTGCCCGGTTGTCAACAGGAAGTTACACATTTGACCAGAAATTAGAAAGTAGCTTTCCAATGATTAATATTTAGATAAAATACATAAAAACACGAACTCACCTAAAGACTGCGAATTGCTTGTGAAAGTTGGCCGAGAAGATGCAGGCTGTGAAAACCCTCCCAATGCTAACCCTACAAATGCACAAATATAAAGTTTAAGCATGAAATAAAAACAGCTAAAGTTAATGTGTTTATGCCAGACTACAATTTTGATGTAACAAAACAAAAATTATTATATACGAATAAATATTAACGTCACTGCCATATGCAACTTCAGTCACAAAGTGAAACGGTAACTTTACACACATGCTTAAAGATAACATATATATAATTAAATGGTCCTATTTAATTCCTTACCCATTGGTTGGTTGAAGCAAGGCTGTGCAGAAATCCCAAATGCTGGCAATGCCTGGGGTTTTTTAATTAATTCAGCAATCTGAAAAGAGCATGCATCAAAAGAGATGTCCATGAATAAAACTAAAGTTTTTAATATCATTTGTATGACATCACAAGTCAGTTAAATAAGGAACTTGTGCTAACAAAATTTAATAAACTCAAAAAAGTTGTCGAGTTACAAGTAAACTGATTTTATGAAGGATAAAATTCAATTTGTATCATGAAACACTTGTGCAAAAATGGCTGTAAATGTCCATTCCATGTATCCTCACTTTACCTCAAAGCGACATTTGCTGTTATGACACTACCATAACTTGACAGCACCTACAATTAGCACGGCTGGCTACGTACGGTGCGAAAGAAGGACAACATACATGCAGCATATCCTAAATCCATTTGGGTAAAAGCTCTTGTTTTATGTAAAAAATATTGCATAATCCAGTCATGTTATTGCACACTACGTCATTGTATTGGAAGTGGTTGCTTTGTGGTTTGAATACTGCACTCTGAATCGAACAACCTAGGTTCGATTCCCAACCCTGGCGAACTTAAATGGCGAGTAATATCTGAAATGGTGCTGGCCTATTCACAAACCCACATTGACCAGTGTGTTGGAAGCATGGTCAAACAATCCTTATGACTGACAGTGCAGATATATTCATCCAGCAGCAGACTGACAGAGCTATGTTATACAGTGCATCATACAGTCATGTAAGTGAAGACAGGTTATAGTTGAACTGAAAATGCAAATACGGTACATGCACCGTATATCACTTTGTCAAACTATTGTTGGATGAGAGCTCCCAACATCATGCAGGTTGTGGGCGTCATTTGACCATACATTACCATGCTGGACAGTGCAGGTTGGTGCAAGTGGGTAGAATATACATGGGAAGATAGTGAAGTAACAATGGATTGTGCTGCTCCACACAACATAACTATAACAGTCTATAATGTGTTTTAGACATGGTTATCCATGCAAGTACTGTCCAGGCTCGATCCAGCTTAGCTTTCTGAGATGTATCGAGATTGGGTGCATTCCAGGCCGATTTAATCAGACCAACACAATACTTGGGTACATTGAAGATAGAAGTCAAGAAAACAGGCTGTATATGCAACTCAAAACACGCACCAGAATATCCCGGGAGTTGGGGTTGGCTAGCTCAGACTTGCGTTGTCGCCACCTCTCCTTTAGCTGTGAGACCATATCCAACTACATGGCAAAATGTGAAAATTGCATGAATATTAAAAAAAATACTAAACATGACTTCGTAAATATTAGCCCCGACACTGGCACTTATACAAAATTTTGTAACATTAATGAACACCATGACATTTACATTACGTACATATTCCTGTAAGTTTGACATTCGATGTTTGTAGTACTCCAAGCGAATCTCTTCAGGTGACAGGTCAATAAAACCTTCAACAGAAACAGCATAAAACAAATTTACAGCCTTATTACCACATCACTTGTACAATTATTTGTAAGTCCTCAAACTATTAAATCTACTTTCAAATATGATACTTCAAGTGCCATCATGAACAGACCTGTTATGCAAGCTCTTTCTTTCGTGGGTGCATAGCACGAGAGGTACCATAGCCCTGAGCTCTCCCAATGTTCCATGTCTTTTTTTATGTTAATGCTGTTCACAAAACATACAAAACGTAACAGAACAAAAAAAATTGTGATACTGTTCAATTTCAAATGGTAGCCAATGAAACTGTTTTTCCCGTTGAGCTTTCAAAATGTTGACAAAATATTCGAAAGTTTTCTAGCAAAATTTACCCTCCAAAATTGCAAATTTTACGTAATCTTTAATAAAAAGACTAAATAATATCAAATTACAAAGCCAGTTTTAATATGAAATTCCAAAACACGTTACGCAGGCGATGAAATGCACGAATAACCAATTAATCAATCCAGCTTTAAATAAGTATGTATGTATCGTACATACACAAGTTGAGCGATCTCGTCCACCTCGTCCATTTCACTGTTGGCATTGCTCAGCGCAGAGAATTTGTTTTCAGTGTGTATTCCTCCTGATGAACCACCACTTTTCCAAGTGCTTCCCTGCCAACCACCTCGTTGGCTCTGAAATCCACCGGCACCTCTCCCACCTCGGCCTCCAAAGTCTTCCTCGTAGGCTCCCCTACCGCTGCGACCTCTTTCTCCACCTCCAAACCCACCAACTTGGTTCCTCCCATAACTTGTGCCGTCACTCTCATCCCCATATCTGCCACCGTGGTAGTCGCTCCTGCCTCCTCTGTTATAATTAGGGGTCGGGAGAAGGCCACCACCTCGACCCTGGTGCTGCTGGAGGTTTTGGAACCCGTCTTCTCGGTTACTATATCCTGAAATAATGCATGGGGCACAGATGGTACATTAGTAGATGAGGAACGCATGTTTGGGCAAAAAACAAAGGCTGAACATGTATCCAATTCTGTGAAAACTCCAAACGAAATTTACCTTGTTTATAACATTACGAACCAAAGGGGATTATGTTTATGCATAAAGAACAACAAAGGACTACAACATGGAATTTGGTCTCTTACAGCATTAAAATATAAACTTTATTGCACTTTGTAAATGTACAAGCCTGGATGAGTGCTTCCCCTCGCCGTGCAGGTCGTGGGACTTTATTTGACAATCTTTAACACCAAGGTTCTCTGGAAACCTCCTGGCTACCATCAAAGGTTTGTACACGAAGCCATACAAATATACAAACACATACATAATTTCAACCGTGATGATGGTTACAAACTGAGTAATCATTGGAAAGATGTGATTAACCATGCAAAAAAGATTTAACTACACTTTGGACCATCTTATTTGACAGACAACTATTCTTGAGTTACTGCACAGGTTACTGATAGACAGCCAGTTTTGTTTTACCAGGTTTAGCTTCCTTTATTCACACACTGGTTTCCTGCTATAAGTTTTACCCACCAAACAACATAGCAGGAGGCTGTTTCTTCCTGACCTGCTTTTGTGCTTTTACCATCTACATGGCAGAGGCTCGGTCTCATTTGCAGCATTTTGTTATGTAGGCTAGCCGTAGTCTCATGCCGCACTTCACCATAATAAAGGCTCAGTCATTTGTTATGTAGTCGAGCCGTAGTCTCAAGCCGCACCTTACCATAATAATAAAAAGTGGGCCGTTCCTGGCCCATCCCCCCCCCCCAACCATTATATATACGGAGTGGTATCTCTTGTAATCTCTCATTTACTTGATACAGCTATCGTGCTGTGAGTCGGTTCCACCTGAAGACAGAAGCTTGTGTTGCCTCCGAAACGTCGTGATTTTTATTTTACTTTTATTAATTTTACATTTTTTACCTACGTGACTTTACCGAAAAAACCTAAGAATACTTTAACACCTGTTAGTGGGTTGGTTGGTGAAGCCTGGGAACAAAAACGTGGGAGCAGATAAATACAGGACAGCAAATTGATATTGCTCCACTGCCCTCTGCTGTCCACAAAACGGCCAGCAATAAGCTGAACCTGTCGCCTATCAAAGTTCAACACTTTATCTTTCTTGATTTGACAAGATCTAACGCATTACGGGCGATTTGGTCATAGGTTAATACACTTTGTAGTGGTGCCAAAGTTTGCCGTTCAACGAGTTGCATTGTATGAATTAAAACATTTCACTGGTAAAAATCCCTGGATAGTCAAACGGCATACAAAGCAAACACGTAATGTGGTGTGTATGCTGTACAAACATTACAAGTGTATACTGTGCCAATACATTGTAGTGAAATGCCACTTATATATACGGGGATCAGTATCTCAACAACAATGCGGACTTCCAACGAGGCGATGAAAATGTATCTACAATCGACGAACGTTGGTTTAGATACAACAGGCACAGTTCAATTGTAAGGTGTTGAGGAAAGCGTAGATTAATATGGCGTTTCGTGTTATGTTTTAGCTGTGACCTCGTGTAAAGTGCCAACGTCCCTTGTTAAAACGTTTTATTTTTCAAATGATGTTCAATAAAACCAATGTGCAGTATTTTTTTTCTTCCAGATGGTTAACTACGGAGGTGTTATGTAATGAGAGACTGCGTCAATTAGATGCAAGACGTTAGCAATTATAACAATTGCCAGTTATTCAGTTGCAATGTGCGCTGGTGATGTCAGTGGCGATAAAGGTCGGGCAGTGTCTTTACAATTTAATTAACTTCATAGGGGGGTGGGAAAGGAAAACAAACACTTGAATTACATTCTCTGGTTCTTTCGGTAAAGTCACGTAGGTAGGGGGGGGGAGCGACCAGAAACGTTTAATTATTATTCACAATAAAGGTTTGTTTTGGGTTAAATCGCGCGAGTAGAAATGTGTCGTAACCCTCCACCACTCGACACGAAAACAAAACGTGGCTCCAATTGGTTTACTACTCCAGCCCACCGCTTGTGTGTTGGGAGACACAAACCCACGTTTCGTGGGCGATTACAAACCAGCTTTGCCAGGCGATTTGTCAGAAACTGTCCCGATGTCCCAGTGGTTTAAACCAAACTATAAATAATGACATCAATTCTAGATTTGAAGCTTTCGTGACTGCAAGGATTCATACTCTTAGGTTTTTTTAGGTAAAAAAAAAAATATATAAATGAAATAATAAATCACTTTTATTTCTATTATTTACTTTTACCTACGTGACTTTACCGAAAAAACCAAAGAGTATAATGACATCAACCAGCAGCGGCATTGTCGGGCACCAACAAGTTATCTTTCGCCATCTTGCTACCTCCCCGACAACGCGATTGGTCCGCGAGGGCCCACGTGATCCTAACCGACGCGCCTGATTGGTCACACGATTAAAACAATCCTCTCAGGTCAACCCAAGCGACGGCCCCCATGAACGAAACAGCGAAAAAGAAAGAAAAAACTCCGCCGCTGGCTTCGTTCGCTCGCCTGCCCGCTCGCTCGCCACGGCGGCGACGCGACCCTTCACAACCTGATTGCTGCGGCGAAGCCGGGTGCTCGTTCCAGCAGCGATCGCCGAAGCGGCAGAAGCCCTGCAGGAAGAAGCGGCAGATCACCATCGCGGCCGCAGCGTGCGCGTGGATCGATTCCTCGATTCCTATTGAATGGCAGTTTGGCGTCGATTCATCGTCTCGCTAGCAATGCACGAATCGAGTCGTGCGGTGCGAATCGATTACCGGAATCATAATATATGGCGAGAGTATTTATTTGTCTTCTTGGTTCTTTCGGTAAAGTCACGTAGGTAAAAATTTAAAAAAATATTCAAAATAATAATAGAAAAATTATAGAAACAATAACAATAACTAGCTTTATTACTACCCGGCTTCGCCCGGGACTTGGATTCTTGTTTTGGATTAATTCACGGCCTACGCGGAGGGTGGGGGGGGGGTGCGTGAGGTCAGCAGGCACCACACCGCATGCGGGTGACATCACCGTTCACTTGTGACGTCACCGCTCACTTGTGACATCACCGTTCACTTGTGACGTCACCACTCACTTGTGACGTCACCGCTCACTTGTGACGTCACCGCTCACTTGCCGTGCAAAATATAACCATTAATGCGCCCCCCCCCCCCCCAAAATACAAAAGTCTATTTTTATACTTTTTGCATTGTGTACAGTCTGGAAGCTACCCACATGCCAAATTCCTAGTTTGTTGCATATGCTAAACATTTCGAACACATTTACATATTTCCCTTTTATATATATACTGTACTGGAGGAATCCGATGAGCTATAAATCACTTTTTTACTAGATGTCCAGTTATGTGGTGATGGGAATGATGAATGTAACGAATCCCATAAACAGTAACATCGATCTAGGCGCACACACGTTGCCAGTATCGAATCGCGTGTGTTGAATACGTTGCCCCAGACTGCGCGTGTCCCCCATGTGGCTTAATTTGACCATACTTCACCACGCTGGTCAGTGTGCGTTGGCGGGGACGGGGGGCACACACGTGAGAGAAACTACAGGATAACGATAGATTATGCTGTACAGTACTGTCATCTGCATACCTCCATAATAAGAGGTGTTTGGGTTAGATCGCGTAAATGTGTCGTTAAAACCCGCCACCACCCGACACAGCCAATCAGTAAGGGGTTGTCCTGTAAGCAGAACGTGCCAATTCGTCACTAGTACATCACACCGGTGTGTTGGAGAGCCAAGCCACAACATTTACAATCTGAGAACGACGTTTCGCCAGTTATTACAACTAGCTTCATCAGGCGACAGCCAGATTTGTGGAGAAGTCCTTTTGTTTCGTTCCTTAATGTAGAGGCGCAGATGTGTTGACCACGCTCCTGCGCTCTTGCACAATGTGGTGGGTATTACTGAGGCAACGCACATTAAGCAAGTGCATTATGCGAGTCTATTGTTGATTCAAATATCCGTACCAACGGTAATGTCCTTTGTAGGCATGCATTTAAATAATATATTATTTGATGATTCGCTTCCACGCAGCACTAAGGCGGTAGCTATCCGAACGGTTCAAGTTATTTTGATTTCTTTCAATTCCGATAGATTCTCTAATTAGTCTTGGCCAGTAGTAGCTAGTTTTGCACAAAACTTCAACATTATCAAAATCAATTGAGTGTCCTTGTTGGCACGCGTGTTCTGCTACTGCTGACAGTTGTATTTGGGAGAATTTAATATTTCTCTGTTCTTTTAGTCTCGTGATCATTCGTCCTGTTTACCCAACATAACATTTACCACACGTGCAGTTAATCCTTTACACACCTTCTGTTGATAGCTTCGGTAATACATCTTTTGTACCAGATATTAATTTCTGATATTAATCTGCATACCTCTTGACTTAAAGCTTTCGTGACTGCAGGAATTCATGTTCCAAAGAATATCTGTATACCTGTCAACCCCTTATCAGTGCCTACCTTATTACACACCAATTCAGACCTTATTGGTCACCCCATGCCCTGATAAATCTCAACGTTCATCCTACAATGTCTCATCACAAGGGAGAAACAAAAACAAATAGGCAACTCTTTGTGCCCGTTATAATCTGTACAGGTATGCATCTGCACTGGCTACAACGCGCCCAATCTCTCGTCAGATGTGGAAAGCCAAGCGGGGCTTTTTGGAGCCGTGGTTTAGCGCTCGGATGCAGATACCACCACCCATTCTAGGTAATGGCCAGCAGAGAGCAGTGCGGGAGAATGCATTGTTTGAAACAGCGGTGGGCCGATTACACGAAGCAATGTGTGATCCATTCTTGGTGAATCTCAACGGGCTCCGCGATTCACCCACCAGCAAGCTGTGACCAACAATTACCTGGATGGATTGAACCCTGTAATTTACCGCGTCCTTGTACCAAATATTGGGAGTATAATTTCCTTTCTTTTTAGTTTAGGGAAATTTCAATTTGCCAACAGCCGCAACAAAAATTGTGCGCTTATGTCGGGGTCTGTTCCGATTTGTCCTAAAATACACAAAAACCACCCCGATATTTTGTAATCCACCCGTGTATCGAGTAATTGAATTTCGTAGGGGAATCGTTATACCCAATCGACGTCTGGTAAGGGAAGTTTCTGCATGTGAATGAGTGTACAGTTTTGTAAATTCAAGCAGAGTTGCGAGTTCGTACTGGACCTGCTATAAATGCTTTATTTGGCCTGTTATAATCTGTACTTCAAATGAAAGAATTACACAATGTATCATGCAAACCCGCGTTCTCGTGTTTTATGTTACATTTTCTCTTCATTATTTGAATCGAATTTCACATTGTAAAATAACTGCAACTTCACGTTTGAAATTTTTTTTATTTCAATCACAGCAGCCAAAAACTGTTCAAAAACGTCCAGCAGCATTGCTGCTGGCAGTGTAATAGATACGACCATGAGAGTTAATGCCATTGTTGAATTTCAAATACAGTATACACTTGGAAAAATAGAAGTGCGTTGGACGAAGCAGTAAGAGAAGTGTTGTCACCTGCAGGATTGTGGTTGAACAGTGTGGATTAGACAAAACAGTTAAGCAGAGCGAGTTCTCAGCATTGGTGGATAATTCAATGAGCGAAAAGTTAATGGGAACAGCAACCATGGTAAATTGTAAAATAAAAGGTGGTCTCGCTATACTCACTGGTTCACATACACCCTTCACTATAATGGCATTTTTTTATTGTGACAAGTTATCGAATTGCTAAAGGGGGTGAATCGTGATATTCCTACGAACAATATGATGCTCAGAAAGCTATGCAATGCTCGTGGCTGTCTTGATGGGCTGTGGGGCTGTGGTGGGGTTCTTGAGAGCAGTTTTAAGAGAAAGCACGAAGCATAAGCCACAGCAAACCCAGGGGCTGTTGGCAGCATCACAGTTGCAGTCTCTTTCCCTTCACCACCTTTGCCTTGAAGTTCCATATGTCCTGCAAAATCAGTGCATACGTACAGTTATATTTCCAGGGTTAAACATGCTATCAAACTGATATACAATTACAGTGGTAACAAATTTAATGAATAAAATGCATAAGCATACACGTGAAATATCTAGCTCAGATTAACAATCATGGATATTTGTATACTTTTTGATTTCATCAGTACCCCTCAGTTGAAGAGATATCGCTACTTTCTGCTCTCTTGTGGGTGCACATTGATGACATCACACCACCTATTAAAGTCCCAAGACTGAAGGACAGTTTCACAATTCTAGCAACTGCCTGATGATGCTGGTTGTAGTTATTAGCAAAACGTCATGCCCACTTGTTGTACGTCATGAGACTGCTCTCCAATACACCAGTGTGCTGAAGCAGAAATAAACTGCCACATTTGCTCACATGACAACTTTGTTAATTGGCTGTGCCAGGTGGTGGAGGGTTTATGACACACATTTTACTTAAGCACTCCGACACAAACATTTCTTATGAATCATATTGATCACAAAAGCCTAGGTGTTAAAAGATATTGCAGGTTTGATAATAACCGACTGTGGTGACTGATATCGTTGTACACTGTAGCAGTAACAACTACTATGACCCAGGATTCTCTTTAATATGAAACTACTGGTTTCTGGAATCTTACCTGGTTATAAAGGCAATCCATCTCTCCTTAACCTCTACTGCCCTGATAGTCTGGAACTGCCTTCTCAAACTTAACTTGTGAAACTGCCTTCCACTCAGCCATCCATGCTGTCAATTCCTGGCCCTGTTCAATTCCATGCTCAATAATAATGCCTGTTTATGTACATAATCTTAAGGAGAGGTCACATTTAGATGCTATAAATATTCACATTGTATTGTATTTAATCTGCAACGAGTAATAGCGATATAAAACGTATAAAAGAAAACTTACTCGAAGGGAGATCTTTACATCTTTGCCCATGACACGCTGAGCCATCTCAACGAGCTCCTCCTCGATGTTCTCCTGACTTGTGCCCTTTACATCAATGTAATGACACTGGCTGCTCGCAAAATGGCAGGAGATGGACTGTGAAGGCAGATGACAACATGCCATGCAGGATATTAGTCATTAGCAAATGCAATTTCATGTTATATTCAGCCCTTTGTCAATCCACTGACAGGTGAAGGTCTCCTCATGCCATGTTAATCATGGGAATTGTTTGACCAGACTTCACCACGCTGGTCAGCGCAGGTTGGTGAAGGGAAACGAGACGACCAGGTAATATTTCACTCACCACTTATGTTAGCCATGGTTAGGAATCAAACTGAAGTTGCCGGGTTTATAGCATAGTGTGATAACCACTGCACAAATGGTCTACGCCAAGAAAACATCCTCCGTTAAATACACAATAGGCTTTCAAGAAAATGCTTTCAAACTACTTTACATCCATACCATCTAAAACTGCTTCTTATTCTGAGCGTTTGACCCACTCGGTGGGGTCTGCTTATCAAGTCCTCTCTCTCCCGTCTTTGATCCATCGCCACCTCTACGGTAATACCGCACGCTCTCAAGTCCTTATTGACAACTTCTCGCCATGTCTTTTTCAGTTTCTCCCTCCTTATCTTTCTCTCAACTTTTATGGTCTGCAATTTTTTCTAAATGTAGTCTTCCAACCTTCTGGCCACAAGCCGGAACAATATCTGAGTCTATTCTCACTCTACCTCTCCTCTACGAATGCTACTACCTTAACACGGTGTCTCACTTCTTCATTTCCCACATCTTCTTCACCAACAACCCGAAGAACCCCGAGCCCCTCACGGGGCCCCCGTTATATCCGCCCGGGCTGGGGCTGGCTCCGCCCCTCGCCCCGCCCACATTCTAGATATCTCGAGCTCTTTCCTGAAGGCTCCCGAGAGCTCCTTTATACCACGTGATCACCCAGCGGCCCCCGTCCACCGGTGGCCCCCCTCCAATATCATCCGGTCACGTGTCGGCAGGTCAACCAGCGTAACTCTGGCTGGCTGACACTCTCTCTCGCTCCCTCACCGGGAGCCCGCACCGCACACTGTACGTGGTGCCTCTGCGCTAACCAGCGCTCACCCAAGCCCCGCTAGGGCTGGTACTACGCCCAGTAACCGGGCTGCACATAACGACAACATATTATCCGCCGTGGCCTCGCAAGCCCGGCACCGCAGTGACATTCAGTCACTACACATGCACACTCGCCTAATAATCATCCTGTACACATTCACTTACCACAAACAACTACATTCATAATAAATAAAAAGTGCAAAAAGACTAAAAACTTAACGTTTTGTCCAAGTATAACCTTCAGTGAATGGCATCAATTACTCAATTTTTTTCCATTAGCTTTTATTGGTTTGAGTTCCATTTCTGGCCACAATTAACATCAGTGATGATATCTGAACCAACTCAGGGCACGGCCTCGTTACCAACCTCCACTGACCAGTGATGCTAAGTCTGGTCAAACAACCCCCACAACCCACATGGAATGGAGTGGCCTTCATTCAGCAGTGGAAAGACAAAGGTCTGAAAAATGCAAAATAAATATTTATCATATTGCAGCCAGAACTGGGACATTACTATTGCCAGCTGATTAATCTCATACACACACTCACACAAACCTTGCGGAAACCGTTAGTGCGATTCATGCCAGAGCCATGGATCAGTAGAGGGTGAAAGAACACGGTGTCACCCTTTTCCATCGACAGGTGAAAGCGCGGGGCTGTTGGATCAAAGTCTCGCAACCCAAGGTACAGCTTATTCACACCTCCCTGTGCATACACACAAACACACACAAAAACAAATACATGAATGCTTATGTCATTGGAATTGATCAATTGTTTGTGATCTCTCAGTTCTACTAGTGAGTAGTGATAACATAGCAATGTGCTGTGGAGTGTTATACTTGCCTGGGGATAGTTTCAATAAAACCTGAGGGTTTTTGGAGGCAACTTTGCAGTAGATACCATTTGTATGGCACAATATGTACCATTTGTACTTGCTAAGGTCAGGAAAGCAAACTGATATCATGCGTAGCTGGCAAATTGGTTGTCAACACCAAGCGGTATTCTGTGTAGAAGGGCCGATGAGCTTCATTACAAAACCGTAAAATGGCATCAACATTTCACAATGAGGCCAAAATACTAAGAGAACTACCCGTTTGCTTCTCCACATTTTTACGTATTATTAGGGTTTGGCTGCGAGGTGGCAAGAAATGGTAGTATGGCAATAGACTCTTGAATCTAATCGTGCGGAGTTTTGATTATTACCTGTCTGGTAGAGAGCCTTAATAATTAATGAAGCTTTGCTTGGTTAATAAAGGATATTCCCTAATGAATAATTAAGAAAAAATAAGTGCACATTAAAACATGGCCACTGATGAAGAAAATGAAAGAAAATCTTAAAAGTGTGCAAAGAAGCAGAGGTGGAGTTCCTGTGAGAGATAGAAAGAGGAAACATAAAAAAAAACATGCACAGGTTAAATAAATCGTATTGACGTGTTAATAATATACTTTTGAAAAAACAAAAAATCGTATTTACTATTTTAAAAAAGAGTGGGCTTGGGCAGGACACATAACTCAAAGAGATGATGGTCAAAGTGGTGGCCAAAGTGGTGGTCAAAGTGGTAGCCAAAGGAAGGTACGCACCTGAGAGGACGTCCACCAACAGAGATAGAGCGATCAAATCGGCTCGTGTTCAGTGGCAAGATGGATTGTTGTATGGAAAGACCACAATGGATGGCAATGGATTGTGTTGACTTTTATTCAGCAACGGATAGATTATGGCTGACTGCAATGCATTAGCAATAACGAAATAAACCTGTATTAATCATTTGCTTCCTGGAGAAATTGAGTTGCTCGAGCAAACCGGCCACTGTGGACGCAACAAACACATCCCACCTCCCACTCGGGGTACGCGTGAGGCTTGAGGTCTCCCTTGTGTGTGCCGGGGAGGACCACCAGGGTGCCGTTCTCTCGGTCGATGTGCTGCATGGCAGTCCAGGAGCACACGATGCGCTCTGCAGGCCGGAACGGGAAGAAGTGGAGATCCTGGTGCAGTGGATGTCGCGAAGACTTCTGGCCTGCGGAGATACAGAGATAACCTCAAAGTCAAACTAACAAAGCTGTGCCACGGAGATTGTTATCACTCGGTGTGTACTTATTCTATGACCACATCACCTAAAAATCAAATCACCCGAAATAACTAATTGGCCACAAGATCCAACCACCCAGAGTACATCTGACCTCATTATATCTCACAAGATACGTAGGGTTGAGCCTGGATAGTGCATGAAAGGACGAGCACCACGCATACAACAGGTGTTGTAGGCTGTTGCGGGATTAAGTTGTCAGTGCAGAGGATTTGCAGAAAAATATTCCATTGTTGTACTGTACTATTCTTCAACATCTATGTGCCCTGGTTTCACCAACATACACTTGCTAGCCTGGTGAGGTATGGTCAAATAATCCCCACGACCCAGCAGTGGTTTGACAAAATGGTTGTACATGTACACATGTAATGATAACCCTCCTTCAGTGATCCGATACATTCTCCCAATTCAGGCTAATATAATTTGAAGGAATCATCTTTTCACATCACATTTTTGGGAATCTTGTGTATCATGTTTCTCCTGATTTTTTGCCTCATTTGCAATTGTTTACTCTAGTACCTCAAATATAACATTTGTAAACAATTGGCATATAATTTGCATTGAATCTCCAATCAAAACGTAAACGTATTTGTATTGTATGTGTAGTGACATATAATGGGTCACTACGGGACCTAGCGCCAGTTACTGATAGAGGGGAAATGGGAGTGGAGTAGCCCTCTCTGCCAGTAGAGCATGCAAAGTCATGAAACGGGTCCCTCGGGGGCGTAGTTCCGGTGGCTGGCAGAGAGGGGACATCTGAGGACGTAGCAGCCCGGTTGGCTGGCAAGGGCACGTGATAGGCCAGGGTGAGGATTTGGGCCAAAGATGACAGGGACACGTGGGGTATGGCCCAGACCCTTCTGGTAGGTTCCAGAAGGGTGCGTGGCCGAGGACGGAGCCAGGCCACGCTGGGGAGCATAAAAGGGAGGTCCTGAGGCTGGGTCGGGGCTGTCTGCTGAAATGGAGTCCTCCGTGTTACGTCTTCCCCTGGGTCTTCGGTCTTCGTGCTCGGCAAAGTGGGTCAGTCAGGCAGTGTGCCAACTGTCCTGACCCGGTTTATGTAGTTATCCCGTTGTGGTCCATAGAATAAACGTGTTGCCTCCTGAGTTAGTGTGTCTCTCAGTGAACCCATCACATATGTAATTCGTTTCTGTGACCGCTGCAGCCACTAGGGGTGCTACATTCACCACAACAAAAATTTTTTTTTTAATCAAATTGCAATGCCAAATTATGTCAGTTCACCAAATAGCATTTGCAGAAAATGGTTACATTAAGGAATGAATCATGACGGGTAAAACATATTTTAGCCTTATACAGTGATACCTCGGTTCACGAACTTAATTCGTGAACTGACTCTGGTCGCAAATCGAATTGGTCGTGAACCGAGGCACATTTTCCCATAGGGTTCAATGTAAATCCGGTTAATCCGTTCTGACCTTTTTTTTTGGTTTTTGAAGCACAAAAATATGAAACAAATTACAATACACATTAGTACTGTACAGTATAGTAATGTATAAAGAGAGAACACTAACCTTGCTTGAGATGACTTCAGTAAGCACTCAAACGGGTGAACTGTACAATACAGTAAGTACAGTATTGTACAGTACAGTAGTACAGTACAGTACTGTATGTGCTAAAAAGCACACCAAAAAGCAAAAAGTCACTGAAAGTGTATTCACAGTACTCACAGTACTTATTTCTGTGTCTCTTCTTCTCTCCACGATCTTCCTACAGGAAGTCACGACCATGTGACAGCCTGGAAATAGCATTAAAATGGCCGCGGCTCCTGTTCGTGAACCGAAGCGGAGTTCGTGAACCGGAGCATATTTTTATGAACTTTTCTGTTCGTGAACCGAGTTGTTCGTGAACAGAAGCGTTCGTGAACCGAGGTATCACTGTACCAGGATCGGGCGGCTTGTTGATGAGCATGCTGTGAACAGCCATGATGTCCGGCCCTGTGAAGGACTCCACATACTGCAGCATCTGCACATAGACGGATATTGGATGTCAGGGGCTGGTGGTGTGAAACGACTCGGGTTGTTACTGCATAGGTTTTGGAGTTTGTGCTCTACAGCTCTCCGATGCGTTTTCAGGTTGTAACCAGGGGTGGAAATGGGTCAGAACGAAAAGGTTCCTGCGATCCGGAATCAACCAGGGGCAAGTGTGGCGGCAGGTAGTCTATGCATATATATAATTTGTAAGTGTCTGTCCATCACTCTCTGGATCTCCAGAACGTTACATGGGACAAAAACATGAATGCAAATTAACATGTTGCTAAAACAGGCAAAGCATTTTAAGTTATTAGTCAATCTCACATCCCCAACCCCCCTTGCACTCATCAGGCTCAGTTGATACGATCCAGATTTGACGTTTTGCTCCACGTGCTTCTTCAGGAAGTGATGAAATTGAAGAATCTCTCAGCACGTGGAGCAACATGAAACCCGGAAACACATCCAACAATTCAAGTTATCTCTCAAGAATGAAAGCTTTTCATGCATGGGATATTATATCTACGTTACATTTAAAAATCGATATCATTATCAGTGTTTTAATGTGATATTGGATTCACTAGTCAGACAATATGGATTTAAATGCAATAAAAGGGAAATATTGCCATGAGCTTCTAATATAAATGTAAAAAAAGGGAACGTTTTATTTGTTAGAGAACAAAACCAGATATCACAAAACAGATTTTTAGATCCCTTAAAGTGATTTCTAACAGACTATGGGGCAGAACATGCCCACTCACCTTGTGATAAGAGTAATGTTCATTGCATGACAGTCAACTTTACAGAATCGAGCCAAATTAATTGTAGAAACAAATTTCATATGGTCATTTTTAAGACCACCACTAAACTTGAGAACCCGATTTATTCCCAGGTGGCTGCTTGGATGAGAACCCAGGATCTCAGGGAGGCCACCTCAGTACTCTTGACTTCTGAGCCACCTGGCCACCTCATATTAAGGTAATATTTTGCCAAGATGTTTTAATAAGCAGCCACACAGATTTTTGCTAGTTTTTTTTCCCAGTGCAACAATCACATTTGGAAATGAAAAGGTGTCGGTCTACCTCTGGAAGCTGGCAGTACTGAAAGAGGATGGGGTCCTCTTGAAAGTCCTGGACCTTGGTGACGGAAGTCTGATCTTGAGCGACCTTGGACTTGGCGATGGCTATGTCTCGCATGATCGTTATTGCTGGGACGGTGACCTCCCGCCGGCAAATCCTCTCAAAACGATCCCTTTCAACGCACACCGTTACAACCAGTGTATAATTTCAGCCGGAAGATTCCGAACAACTGCACGGTAATTATTCTGACACTCCACATACATTTCGTCTTTTGTACTGTAATTTGTGCATAGGATTACAGCAAATTGTTTTAACTTGACATGCGTTTACATTAGCCATGCAACCAGGGACAGATTTAGGTATGTTTTCCCCTGGCACATTGGAGCAGAAAAACCCACCCTATCTTCATTGCCCCAACCATACATACACACACACACAAAATCCACAGCTTCGTCTACTACGATGCACTCCAATCAATAAATCCATAACGTGAATGAACAGTGCCACTTTTCTTCATAAGAAATGAAATGCATATTTTTTTCGTGGGCCCCTCTGAAGGTTTGGCCAGTGAACAAATGTGCCATTTACCCCCAATGTTGATGCATTGTCTTGATTGGTGATGCGATTATATTTAATAATCTTCATACCTACAAAATATTTGAAACACAAATAATAAATATTTACATGCACGATTTGATTTGTTAAATGCCTAATTTACAGCATGACAAGTGACTTTAGATATACTCTCGTTCAATGTGGCTTAATATCACGTCTAGCAAGTTTTAATTCATGTTTTATGTTAAAAAGCATATTCACAGAATTGTAATAACCTGTATCTCTCCAGGTCTTCATCTGTCACCAGCCCCTTGATGACAATAAATCCATTGTCTTCATAGAAGGCTCTCTGCTCTGGTGTCAGAATCCCATTGTCCAAAGTGTACCTTGCCAGAATCATTGTGAAAAAAAATATGCAGTGTGTGCATTTTCTTAGCAATAATCATGTGTGTACATATACCGCACTTTGCCAAGCCACTGTTGGTGCAGCAGATCTCCACAGCATGGGGATCATGGGGATTAGATGACCAAATTGACCATGCCAGTCAGTGAGGGAATGTAATTTTAGAATCTTATAAGGGAGCATAGACATGCAGTACATCAACTGATTTTTCTGCACTGTCTTCTGCTGCTCATCAGATAGACCCAAAAGCCTGTGACAACCTGTTTGCACATGTTGAGCCATCCAAAACACTCCAGGCTCAACTGTTTTCCGAGATCTGATGAGATTCGGTACATTCCAGGTAATTTCGTCATTTGCAGCAATAATTACTTATTTAATATCAAGGGTGTGATTCCGTTTTTGGAGGCCTATTAATTCAGGCATAGCATCATGATGTGTTTTTCAATCGCCCTGAAAATATGGTGTGCCCCACTAAAATCAACAGGCCCTGTGCAAATATGTAAATTACAACCCAGCATGTGATTATTTTAGGTGTTTATCCAAGTCAATGCCAACTTGCCCATCCACGGAAATCTATGAAAATGACAAAACCACCACGTCAACTTTCACAAATCATTCTTACACAGCCAGAGCCCATGTAAATTTGGGCTTTGGCACCTCTAATAAAAAATGGCAATTGCTATAAACATAACTTCAGCATTTTCTTGCTGTGGTTGTTCCACCTGATGAAGATTGCTTGTGTTGCGATCGAAACGTTGTGATGTTTTCTTTGATTTCTACCTACGTGACTTTACCGAAAGAACCAAAGAGTATAACTTATTATGTAAATATATTACTTTTAAGGCAATGTTATTGACATAGATTTATAAGTTGGTATTCATCCGCCATATGTGAGAGATGCCAACCTGAACTTGGATGAGGGGCCGTGTTGGGATGTCACCGCACCTTGTGAAACAGGATTTGGGCTCTGAGGACCGTGTTAAGGAAAATGAACAAATGTAAACAATGTTAAACGTAAACAATTTTGAGGCAGGCCTCAGCAGATTTCCCCTTTTTCACCTGAAGACGGTTGCTTGTATTGTGATCGAAACGTCGATATATATTATTTTTTCTACTTACGTGACTTTACCGAAAGAACCAAAGAGTATGGATTCCTGCAGTCACGAAAGCTTCAAATCAAGAGTAAACAATTTTGATAAATACACCGACACGAAGGTTGCCAGCAACACAGAATGGTTTTAGATCTGTACTTTGTAAACTTTGCATTTTAAACCATATCTGAAAAATGATATCAAGTTGTTTATTTCAAGATCTTACGGAGCACCAATTCTTGGTATGGTATACAGTAAAACCTTGGATTGCGAGCAAAATTCGTTCCGGAAACGTGTTTGTAATCCAAAGCACTCGTATATCAATGCACTCGTATATCAGTTGTGATCACGTGACGCTCGGCAGACAAAGCGTATATGTACTACTCGTATTGCAAGACCTCGCTCGTTTATCAAATTAATATTTATTTAAATTTTTGCTCGTCTTGCAAAACACTTGCAGACCAAGTTACTCGCAATCCAAGGTTTTACTGTACTAAGGTAAAGGTTTAGGGTAAGGGTTGAGGGTTTATGCTCAGGGATAGCAGTACCTAAGACTGATTATCTTGCTACAGATAAACACATTCCTGTGGAGGGGGAGCTGGTAGGAACGTTGGGTTGCTCGGTCAATGGCCAAGGTCAACGGCGGCGTGGTGTATTCCGCAAATATAGCCGACTGTGAAGGGCAGGCACAAGCCAGCGTGAGTAGGTTAAACGTTGAGTTTTATAAGGGCACCACGGGGTGACCACCCCCTCCCCACCCATTTTTGATGCACGACGGACGGACACAATAATCCCGTGGGCTGGTGTAACCAAGAGGTTCCTACCAGTATTAACGACGTATACCGAGGTACCACTGTACTTATTTTTATAGACCGCGCTGCGATGATTGGGCTAAAATCAACCTACCGGGATTCATCACAAACGCAACGTTCACATTTCGTCTCGTCGTCCGAGCACAGCGCCACCCGGTCGGACTTGTTTTTAATCGTGGTCTGGCTTAACTTTGGCTATACAAGTACATTTAACAGGACGGTTCAACCTAAAGAATGTGTGTATTTAATGTATGAACACAATGCAGTTACGAACAAGACAGGCGTCCCTGTTGCAACCCGACCAGTGTTGTAAAATAAAAAAGTCAGTGGCATAGTTTGCTTGGCATGGGCCCTGGCGTAAGCGATGAAACGGGGGGCCCCCCTCTCCAATTCCCCTCTCCTTGTCGCTTGTACAATTCCTTAGGCCCCTCCGGTCCGCGAGTCTCGGTGCAGTAGCACCGCCTGCACACTCGACAACTACGCCACTGCCACAAGAACAGTCACTGCACAATGAACATTCCGTAAAAAGCACCGCGCATCTCAACAACGACCACCGCGCAAGAACTTTGAATTCCACCGATTAAATGAGCCAATTTAAGCACACACCATCTCTCAAGAGAGCAGCGTAGCTATGAAGTGCGCAAGCGATGGTCGGCGTGCCCTTTGCTCTAGTCGTGCCGTGCCCGCTGGCTTAAGAAGAGCTACCCACCGGCACAGTAAACAAGGCTGGAATGTTGGGCCAACTTTGGGTCCAACGGTTCAGTGTCTCCTGGGATGCTTGTCGCCACAACGTTGGCCAGCGTAGCAGCGTCTGCAAAAGGATACGGGGCGGAGATGGCCCAGGAACAGGCGAAGTCGCTGCTCCGCCATCGCCGGCGAGAACGAACACGGACGGGGGCTGAGTTCCAAGTCCAAAATACTGTGGCGTCAACTTCCTCCCTGGCAGCTGCGCCGCACGCAGTGGGTGGGATCCCACCAGCCAATAGGTGAATAACCCGACCCCTCCCCCCCCAAAGGGCAACTCAAGTTACAGTTCATTTTTGTTTGCTGCAATGATGACCCCGTGTGGCAGATTTCCGGTTTTATTACAAGGTAGATACGTGGTGGGTGCGAACAGCGGCAACAAAAAAGACAAATAACATAAGTACATACCTGATAATTGTTTTTTTACCCTTTTATCTGGCAACAAAACGGACACCTTTTTTTTTACAAGGAGTCATGTTTGCATAGACCACAATACCTGCAGTCATAATGAAAACAAAAAACACAACTCTTTTAATGTATGTACTGTCCTTGAAGTTGATTGGTCCACAACCGAGACAGCTTTCCTTAGAGCCTATGACTGCAGGTATTGTGGTCTATGCAAACATGACTGCTTGTAAAAAAGGTGTCAGTTTTGTTGTCAGATAAAAGGCTAAAAAAACAATTATCATATTTTTTACTGGCAAATGAGGTTCCAATGAAGTACATACCTGTCAACCCTTTGTCAGTGCCCTACCTTATTGCAGACCAATTCAGACCTTATTGGACCTTATATATCTCAACGTTCATCCTGCAAAGTCCCATCACAAGGGAGAAACACAAACAAATAGACAATGTATTCATTTATTTTTGTTACCCGTATTGAAACGGCTGTACGCCGTATGGATCTAAAAACGAAACTTCCCTGAACAAGAATAGGGGTAAACCGTTTGGGTTGACAGGTATGTAAATATTGCAGAGAACGAGTAACGGAGCCATTCAAAATATTGCACAACTGTCGCTGAACGATACATTCGTCAATAAGGATGCGGTCTTAAAAGGAAAATATATAATAGGCGATGTTTCAGGCAATGGCCCTTCTCTTCATCGCATGTACATTGGAGACTGAACTGTATACAATGGGGTCTCATGAGAATGCAATAAGTAAACAAATTGGAATTTGAACAATTTCCTGAGTAGATATTGAATTGACACACGTATTAATGTATTCGAATCGATTCTTACATTCGAATAAAATAATAGATTATTCAGAATTCACCCGCAATTTTCATTTATAGCGAAATTCAGCCGACCTCGTTATGGATTTCGGAAGCTAAGCGGAGTTGAGCCTGGAGAGGTATTTATCAGAGGGCGACGGGGATACTTGGTGGGCAGCAGAGGGCAGTACAGCACAATCCATCGTTATACTGAACGTATATGTTTACCAATTTTACTAACCCGTTCGCATGATCTTCTTGGTTCTTTCGGTAAAGTCACGTAGACTCTGTCGCCTCGACGGACCTGGTCTTCACCTGAGGACGGCTGCTTGCGTTGTGGCCGAAACGTCGTGAGAATAATTTTATTATGTTTTATTTTTATTATTTTATTACTTCCCTTCTACGTGACTTTACCGAAAGAACCAATAAGATGAATCCCTGCAGTCACGAAAGCTTTAAATCAAAATTCAGTTCGCATGAGATATTATGGGCAAATAGGCCCCCTCGGTCCGTACGGCGTGGGGAAGCCACTCATCCAACGGTGGACTGACATACACCTGTGCACCAAGTGAAGGTGTTGAATGATGCAGCGGGTCGCATACTGCTTTACGAAGCGGGTGAGTTGAGCAGCGGAGTCGAGCTGAGAGGGGAGAGATAAGAGAGTATAAGGGCAGTAGAGTGAGACGAGAGGGAAGAGGTAGGAGAGTGTGTGAGGGGGTGGGCAGAGTGAGATGAGAGCCTGAGAGGAGAGAGTTAGGAGAATGTGTGAAACATTGTGTACCTTCTAATGCACCCGATGGCAGTACACGTCATGTGCATTCAAGATTGCACTCGTTGCCTAATAAAAACATCGGGGCCCTTTGGGACAAAGATATCTAGATTTGAAGCTTTTCGTGACTGCAAGGATTCATACTCTTAGGTTTTTTCGACTTTACCGAAAAAACCTAAGAGTACAAAGACATCTGTCACGATTGCCGTATTAGATAGTCAATTTAATGAAATGCATCTCCACGAAGTAAAATAATGTTCTATTTCAAAAATCTGGGCATACATGCGAATTCAGTAATATAATTAATTGACCCGTGACCTAGTTTCGTAGAGTCGGCATTGATGATGCTATTTCGTGAGCAATTTGTACGATTTCATAAGAAACAAGAGATTTGCATGAAATGTCGGCATAGCACTGGCTGCTGGCAGAAATGGGGATCTGCGATAGGACTGAACAATTAATCGATTTCAAATCGAAATCGCAATTTGAAACAATTGCAATTAGCAAATCGCAAAGGCTGCGATTGTTTGCGATTTGAAAAGTCCTCTTACTTTCTGATTCGAATCGTTTTATTATTTATTATTATAACTTTATTTATTTAAGTTAACAAATGTTCTATGTTCGATTGTTCAAATAACAAAAAAACATTTTAATAAATACATGCTGGAAGAAATTAATATCTTTTAAGTTCTCATCCTTGCATTAGAATATATAGAGCAGTTAATATTTTGAAACATGTGTTGGTAATGCTCCAACACATGTTTTAAATCTATTACACAGTGAATATTGAACTGAAGCTTGACTTAAACATTTTAATCACAAATCAAATCGCAATCTTCTTGATGAATCCCTGCAGTCACGAAAGCTTTAAATCGAAATCAAATCGCAATATCTGTCAGAAAAATCGCAATGAGATATTTTGCCCAAATCGTTCAGCCCGAATCTGCGGCGTACGGAAGTCCTGACGTCAGCAGGCCAGGATATAAACGAGACGGGGATCTAAGCGAAAGGTCACAGAAGGGGCCCACCAGGAACCCGCTAGTAGGTTCCAGAAAGAGGGCGTGCCCGGGGCGGAGCGCGGCCATGCTGGGGGACCTCGGGGCTGTTGTTGGAGTGAGATCCCCGTCTTGCTGTTGAAATGCATTGTCGCCAATTCTTCTCAACGTCTTCACCATTCTTCTCGTCTCCATCTCTACCATATTGGGGCGCCGCTCGTCAGACAGCATGCCAACTGTCCTGGCTGAGTAGCATTGCCGATAATAGACGGACTAAATATTAAGTGTGTTAATCCCGATGGTACTCGTTAAGAAGTGCTTCCAAGTCTTATCGTATCCGAGTTAGTCACTACACAAGTATGATACCTTCTAAGTTATAATGCTCATGAAACTTCAATGCGACGAAGATCCTGAGGCAATGTCTCATGGAGGGTGTAGCCAGGGCTTATTTTTTCACTGAATAAGTGCTTCAATCCTTCGATAAATGGAATAGATATGTTCATGAAAATTATCTGAAAAGTGAAATTCTGGATATGCAACCCTGTTTTTTAATTGACTTATATTATACAATTGTAGATGCGTCCCTACGGAAGACATATTACCCCAAGATGTAATCAACTCACACTTAAAAATTCAGCAAACTATGTTTAATTACCTATTTTATATAGAAAAAAATCGTAGTTTTTATAATAAGATATTAATAAATACTTATTCAGTTCCGAAATAAATATACACAGTTCTTACAATAAACTGTGGTGATCGCCGTGTATCACTTAAACTTAATGGTCTCTTTCCAGACATCATTGACTTACCTCTAATAAAGAAAACAACGTTGAAAAGGGGTGAAATCCTGTCCATCACGGTACCAGGCGTGATCACCACAAAGGGCCGAAGGAAAACCAGTCGGGTTTGGACGGTACGGGGAGCGCCGAGGACAAACGACAGGCCACGTATTGGTCGATTTGTTTCTGAAAACTCAATTTTTCCTGTACAAGAATACGGGTAAACCGTATGGGTTGACAGGTATGGTAACTTAATCGAAAATTACATCCCCAATTCATAGGTTTACGTTTTAGCAAAAATCCGTATATTGAGTTTCTGTATAACGAGGGATGACTATTTTCCGAGTCACTGGGGTATGGGCACAGGCCTAGAAGTCACGGCCTTAGCGAGAAGTATACTGGATATGGTGTGCCGAATGAGGAAATGTTTTTCTCGAGTCGTTCACCCAGAGAGACCCGGTTGAAATTAACCCTTTTGGTGTCACGATTCATCCCGTGGCCATTCAATGAATTGTCACTAAATAAGATGAAAGAATATGTCATATTTTAAGGCATTGTGATGAATGTAGCGGGCTCTGGTGGCTGCAGGGATCACGCGAACCCATTATCTACAACACGCACGAACCTGAAAACATAGATACCTACCCACGTACGTATATGCATGCATTGTGAGCTAAACAGATCAATATTGAATAATGCATTGTTTCAACCCTATCGCCGTGGTGGCTGGAGATATGTTTTATCCTCAATGCCACCGTGAATTTGGTCAGTGACGCGTGGTTCTATTTATAGCATCGCACACGAAACAGTTTTTCTCACCACGGTGGCCTGGTTCCCAACAGTGTAGTGCGTGTGGTGTCTGTGCATAGGGGAGAAAAGGGTGGCTGGGCGTGTTGGTCTCGCACTCCCTCGTATGTCGTGCCGACCTTGATAGGTGCTCGCTAACATCACTTGCCCCAACAGTCTGTTAAATGCAATACGGGGGATCTAACACGGAGTAATCTATGCATGTACCGTAATATTGAAATTCATAATAATCGAGGAATTGTTATGCCCATAGCTTGCACAAATGCATACATTCTGAATATATGCACTACAATCCTCGTTGTGCAGTGTAATCTACACACACCGAGATCCCTAATTTGGATCTTCCACGAAGCTCATGGTCCACCCTAAACCGCATCCGTACAAATCATGACGGATGCGGATACCTGATGAACAAATGGAAAATTAAAAACTCTTCAGTATCCGACTGTGATCATTCAGAACAGGCCATACCACATATAACGATACAATGCCCGATCCGCTAATACAAAGGAGACATTACAGCGATACATTCCTCTCTTCCTGACGCTGTTATATGACCTGACCATCTGAATGTGACATTTTAGTTGTTGCTCTGCATCTACATCAGACACACGAAAGAAGAAGGAGACTGCAAGTCAAAATGCGTTACAGTCATTCGGAT